ACCTTAAACACATCGTCTGATTTAAACCTCAGTAAAATGGTTTGAAGTAAAGGGTGTTAGTCCCATTTCGCAGATGAAGAAATCAAGTTTTGGAGGTTAGAAAGCTTACCTCATTAGATAGATGAAAGACTCTAGATGTCTGCAATGCTAAAGCCCATGTCTTTGCAGCTCACCATGCTGCCAAGCCCCAGAGGACCATCTGAGCTTAAGAGAGAGCCCCGTCCTGCTCAGGAATCCTGGCCCCACCGTGGTTCTGCTCCTGCCTGCTGTCATGGCTCTCAGGACTAAGCGTCTGCCTGTTCTTGAGCCTTATGGCCACCTCGGCCCTGGCTACTGTCATTGTTCTGTGCACAGTTTAATCACTGGCCTGTGGCTCCAGAACTTTTAGACATGACACTACTTCCTTTTACAGCCCACTTCTTAGAAAAGTGTAACATAGCTGGAGCTCTATTCACTTCTAGCAGACTTCCCTAATGCTGGCTTGCCTACCTGGACTTTCCTATGATCACAGCCTGTGGCCTAAGTGACCTACCACTGGCTATCATTGGATTGGATTTCAGCAAGGAGTCAGAGTCACCATTTCTAGAGCTATGCTGGGCAGCGTGCTGGGGAGGGAATAAGAATGATTCCTGTCCTCAGAGACTCAAGGTCATTAGGGGTGCCACAGATTAGATGATTGTTCAGCAAATATTCACTCCCCTGCCCCACTATGGGAGGAGTCTCTCCCCCTCCGTTCCCTCTGAGGCTGGGCTTAGCCGTGTGGTTGTTCCAGCCTGTAGAACTGGGTGGAAGTTTCAGTGCTCCAGTCTGTGCTGAGGTCGGAGGAGGCCTTGTGTGTATCTGCTTGTCCTCATGCAGTCTGCCATCACCACGAAAGGACTGTGCCCAGGAAGCCTGAGGATGAGAGACATGGGGAGCAGACCTGGAGACCTGCTGCCAACCCAGCAGACCCACAGACCAGATGTGAAATAATACTGTCACGCGGCAGAGATTTTGTGTTGTTTTGCAGCAAAAACTGACTGGTACCTGGGGAGACGTGATGATGATGATGGAGTGTAGCAATAGCATCACGTATGGAGGGGGTCAGAGGAGCGTGATAAATGGCGTCTTTCCCCGGGCACAGTGGCAGCTGCTCTGGTCCCTGCATAGCATGTCTCGCTCTGGTGGGAGCTGGATTTGCTCCAGCGCTCCCTGCTCTGCCCCGCCCTGCTGTAGTTAACTGGGTTATTCTTTGAAAGACATGACAGTCTCTTCCAGGTCCTATGATTTAACTCCCCTCACTCATCCTGTGAAGTTAGTGCTTCCCTAGCAACCTCCAGGCAAGTCAATTATCAGCCTCCAGTTCGGCTAGAAACACTGCAATTACTCAGGAAGGATTATCGAGCCGTGCACATTTTAACCTTAAATGTTATAATTATGTCAAAACTTAAATGATAATCGTTTGTCCTTTAGATAGCGTTGTGGGAGATCTGGAGATCTTATATATACATATATTTAAAATGCAGTTAAACTGCTAATGACTCCTTTGCTGGATTTCGATTCTGAGGTAACTGTGTTGGTAGAGCCATCCTAGTAATTATCGAGAGAACAGAATGTCAACAGGGCAGCACCATTAGGGAGAGGAAGGCGGTCCTCGGGGAATCCCAGAACAGCTACACATAAGAAGCTACAGAGATAACGTGGCCCAAACCCAGCACTAGTGCGTTTGTAGTCCACAAAAATAAAGGGACATGCCCAAGGTCACACAGCTGTTTGGCTGGAGCTGGGAACTAAGATTATGGAATGCCTGCCATGAGGTTTCTAGTCTGACTCATTTTTTGTATTACTGCATTTTAATCCCTACAGTAAACTTATAAATACTATTGTCTTTCCTACTATTCTATAGCTGGAGAAACTGAGGCTCAGAGAAGTTAGCATTCAACCCCTCCCACCCCACTGGCAGATAGCCTTTTCCGGTGGCTGCACGCATTGAAGCCCACCAGGATAATTGTATTAAATTCAGGGTTTCAAAATCTTAAGAGCATTCAAATACCATCCTGCACTGGACTCCTATCCATGCCTCTGATCACTGGTCACCTACTGGACAGGTTGTTCCTTCAGTTATGCAGAAGCTGACTTGAAGTGCTATCACATGATTGGCCAAAAATTGGCTTTTGTTTGGCCCACACAGTGTATTAAATTAGAACAAAACAGTTACCAAATGTGAAGGCAGGGTGCGGTGGCTCACGCCTGTAATCCCAGCACTTTGGGAGGCCGATGCAGGTGGATCACGAGGTCAGGAGATCGAGACCATCCTGGCCAACACGGTGAAACCCCATCTCTACTAAAAAGACAAAAAATTAGCCAGGCGCGGTGGTGGGCGCCTGTAGTCCTAGCTACTCTGGAGGCTGAAGCAGGAGAATGGCGTGAACTCAGGAGGAGGAGCTTGCAGTGAGCCGAGATCGCGCAACTGCACCCCAGCCTGGGCGACAAAGCAAGACTCTGTCTCAAAAAAAAAAAAAAAAAAAGTTACCAAACTTGAAGAGTGTACTCTTTCACACAAAAGTCTCAACTTCCTGCATCTCTTGAAAACATTTGAAAGGCTGGCAACACTAACATTGCAGTTAGAGAGGAACACTAATGTCTCCGCGACTCGCAACATTCCCCTGCTTCACATGTGTGAGTCGCCTGAGTTTTGCCATCTGCCTGGTCCCTGGAGACATTGGATTCTGCAATTTCAGACCTGTGAGGTGGTGGGGGTGGGCAATTCTTGAGGGAATGAATGATTGTTTTCTCCTAGGCAGGTTTTTGTTGATCCGCTAGGCATTTCCCCTAGTTCACAACTATCCTTTCCTTCCTGTGTTGGGGGCTTTCACAGGGCCTGATAGGAGACATGGGGGCCACCATTTTGGTGACGCTCCTCCTTCAGCAGGTGATACAATTAGGTTTAACCATATTATGAAATGGCCACTGTGAGGGAGTGGTATGCATTTTGGCCAACAAAGAAAAAAAAAAGCATTTACTCTGAAAAGAGGAAGTCTTTATTCACTCACCTGGGGGAACAGATTACTTCCAGAGAATTATTTACTCACTGTAAGAGCAAAGCCAGTAATAAATAATGAAAATCATGAGGACAAGAACAACACCAATAATAATAATAATGAGTAGGCTTATGAGAGTGACGTGTGGCCTTCCAGGAGCCTTTGGCTGTGAGGTGATAACATTATTCTCCCTGCAAAAGCCTCAAATGTGAGAAATGGTGGGAAATTAGGTAGACATGAGGCTTTGCTCATAACTGGAGAACACCACTTGTTTTCAGTGCGTATGCATCTTTATCAGGTAAATCTTCACGGAGCAACTTTATTTAACTAAGCATGATCTTTCTGTTATATTGAGTACATCTTTCATGAGATGGTGATTACAATCCCCATTTTCCCTCCAGCATGGCCACGACGTGTGTAAGGCATTTCCAAGGATGAGATTTCCTCTGACATGTTCAAAAAAGGCAACCGTGTTTCAAAAACTGCCATAAACTAAATGAAAAGGCAAATATCACCATTTCTTCTCATATTGGGTTTTTGAGTAAAAGAGATTGGGTTTTAATCTCAGTTCTGCCATTGCTTCACTGGGGGTTTTGTTTTAATCTTAGTTTCTTCTTTTTTCTTCCCTCCTTCCCTTTCTCTCTCCTTTTCTTCTTCTTTTATCTCCTTCCTAAATGGTTTGGCTGTGTCGCCACCCAAATCTCATTTTGAATTGTAGTTCTCCTAATCCCTACATGTGGTGAGAGGCACCAGGTGGGAGGTAATTGAATTAGGGAGGTGGTTTCCCCCATGCTATGCTTGTGATAGTAAGTTCTCACGAGATCTGATGGTTTTACAAGGGGCTTCCCGCTACGCCTGACTCTGATTCTTCTCTCTCTTACCACCTTGTGAAGACGGATGTGTTTGCCTCTCCTTCCGCCATGATTGTAGGTTTCCTGAGCCCTCCCCAACCCTGCAGAACTGGGAACCAATTTAATCTCTTTCCTTTATAAATTACCCAGTCTCTGTCCTTACAGCAACATGAGAATGGACTAATACACCTTTCATTAAATTAGTAGTTATCTCAAAAGTTGAAAAAATGTTTTTACAAAGGTTTTGAAGCGTTGAAGATAATAAGTTATTAAGAACTAGATATTTGATTTAAGGATCACACTTCTTTTGCTCTTTTGACTCCATATCAACATTCTGGAGTTGGTAGGGCTTCTCCCATTATCTCTATTACCCAGATGGGGAAACTCTTTAAATGCTTCTCTTAAGCTCCACTGCGTGATTTTGTAAAATGTTGGGTCTAAGACCCATACCATTAACTTGCACCTCTCTGTGAAATCTGTAAACAGCTGGTGCTGATGATATTATGAACCCCTTCAAGTAGAGGCATGGTCTTCAGTCACCCAGAGGAGGCGCTCCAAACACCACTGTAGCACCAGCCTGCCTGGGACTGTCTCCCAATCCCGCTGCATCCTAGCTCAATGAACTGCAACAGACTGGGGGAACAATCTAGCCTCAGATTCTACATCTGTAAAATTCATGGGGTTTTGGTAAGAACTGAATGGTCAATACAAATGAAGCTTTTCACATAGAGCCTTGAACACAGAAAGACCTCAAAAATGATATTTGATATATAATTATTCATTGCAATTGCCGGTGTTGTTGCTTTTTTAGGAAAATGATCATTCAAGAGGCCTGAAGGAAGACTTGTGTTGGAGCCTAAGGTGGAAATATAAAGGTTTTGAATGTTATTATTGTGAAAATACAATGAATTTTCCCCAAAAGCACTGAATATATGATGATTTAATACCGATATTTATGCTGAGTGATTTGTGTTGTAGAATTATACATCCTAAAAAAACCCCTAAAAACCTGTTTTCATGTTGCAAGTAGATAAGAAGTTTTAAAATCTAGAAAAGAATAATTTTTCCCATGATAAAGTGAGAGGAATAAAACTCCTCTCACTTTAAAATAAATAGGAAATACATACACTTTATGTTAGTTCTTTCTTCACAGCTCATTTTATTTCTTTTGATTCAGGATTAAGCACCAGAATCCACCAGGTTGAAGTGGTCAGAAATCTTCAGTTGGGCACCTGGGTGAGGATATATTATATTAGTAATTTGTTTTTTTAATGCACATACTTTTTTTGAACTGGAGATTCTAAAGGAATTTTAATGTTTTCAAGTAAAAGAACTGTACTCAGTAGTCTTGGACTGCCTAAGAAAACATCCCCTGGATTCTGTGCTGGGGACATTGCTAGGGGTTCAAGTCCACATCTGGACACAATGATCACCCTATTGCGAAGAAACCCCAAACAAATGGCAAGCAAGCAAACAAAAACAGACAAGCCAGCCAACCAGTCAGACAAACAGACCAACTCATAGACGTGTGGAAGAAAGCTGTGCTACAGAGAGTTCCTTCTGTTAAGTTTTTGTGTTCATAATATACAGTGAAGGTGAGAACATGATTTTTTTTCCCTTTACACAACCCCTTTTCCTCCTTATTAAACTTTGAGATTTGATTTTATTCTGCAGTGAGTTAGCTTTTCATCTCAAATGGTAGAAAAGGTGACACAAGTGTATCTGTGGATAGATGATTAGGTGAACTTAGAGGATGCACACGGCAGAGTTGTGTGTGTGTGTGATGTATGTAATGTGTGTGTGTGTATGCACAGGAAAACATTTATTCGAATGAGCTGAAAACACATTAACTCTGTTTATTTAAGCCAAACATGAGCATGTGAGAGCCTGTCACTTTGAGGCAGTGGAACATCCTCTAATGTCTTTTTATTATGGGAACAGTTCCATTTCTGTAATTGAAATGTCCCATCTAGTACAATAAAACCGTGAACTTCTTTCAAAGTTAATTCTTCTGCCCTCCCTCTGCTGGGACCTGCTTTAGAACAGAAAGGCTGAATGAAGTTGGTTGGACACATGATGGGCTTCTTTCTGCTTCCCCAACCTTATTCTTGACAGTCCTCCAGCTGTGGCTCCTGATGCCTGCAGAGTTGTAGGTGGAGGCAGAGGAGAGCAGAGATGGGGCAGAGAAGGCCTCCCTTGGCTGGTGCAGATTTGATGTGGCACTGGGGCCATCTGGATGGTTGCTATACAGCAGCCACCTTATCCGCCTCTGGGGCTCTCTAGTGACTCTCCCTAAGGTTCTCTGCTGGGCACTTCAAGCTGCAGTTCTTGTGCTGTGAGTTTGGTCTCCTCTCCAGTTGGCACTCGTCACTTACTCCAACCCTCTGCCCCTTTCGTGGACCCTCCAGCCTTCCAGGAAGCCTTCCTGGGCAATTGACTTCATTCATCCCTGCCCTACTGTCTTGGGAAGTGCAGTTCACCCTCAATGCAGTTTTTTCTCTCCTTCACCTTTGCTGATGTGGGTCAAGAGCCTCTCACCTCTAGATCTCTCACACTTGTCTAAGATACCTCCTAGACTTCACAGGACATACAGGGCCACCTTTTTGGGCACGCAGCCTGGACAATTGCACAAGGCAGTGCACTCAGAAAGGGCTTGTTCTTGCTGTAATGGTCTGGTGTTGCCATCTTGAAGTTCTTGATAATTTTTTTTGAACTTGTGTTTTATAAGTGAAATCTAATGGGACAATGGAGCATGCGCACATCTGCCAATGCCTCGTTCACACAGAGGATTCATGATGCCCATGAGTGAACTGGTGAGAGTTCAGAGAGACTCTGAGTCAGTACAAGGTATTATGGAAACCGCCAGCTTCCATACAGTGCCGGCAGAAAATGCACATATTAAGAGTGAAATAGAAACAGTTGAGTTTGTTTTGTGTAGGGTTTTCACTCTTTTGGCCAGAATGAAATATGTATGCATGTGTAAGCTATGAAATACAACTGTATTTGAAGTGACTTCACATGTGAGTTCAATGCTCTTATATTTGCATGTATAACTGGCATTGTTCAATGGAGAGAGAAATGTTAATATTCATGCTAATAATTTAAAATTGTGATTTTCTTCACTTAGAACAACATTAAATGTGTATGTGTACAGGAATATGCAGATGAAACTTAGCTTTTTCTGTATATGAACAGCAAGGCTACAGAGAGTTTTTTACATCTTCGTATTTATAATGTACAGTGGAAACACAAATGTCTTATTTTCCTTCTATGCAACCCCCTCCTTTTGATTTAATTCTAAAGTGGATTAAGTTTTACCCCAAATGGTGAAATAGGTGACAAAATTGTGTTTGTGGAAGATGAGATGAACGTCCACGTGCAGAGGTGTGTGTGTGTGTGCCTGTGTGTGTGCACACACACACACAGGGACATACACCGCTCTCTCAGCATTGTTTTTAGTACTCCCTGCAGGGAGGAGTCATGAATGATATTCCAAATGCATCTCAATCTTCTAAGATACTTAAGTCATCTGCTCTCCTAATAGGATCTCCAAGCTGAGGAGAAGTGATTGCTTCCATTGGCCCTGAACAGAATATCAAATGTATTTGATTTTCAGAGCACTTTATCCCAGATTAGGTCTATGAAAAATCAAAGCAAATTATATTTGGCTTAGGAATGGGTGGGACTTTTTTCTAAACACCTAAAGCAGTGTTTTTTTTTTTTTTTTTTGAAACAGAGTCTCATTCTGTTTGCCCAGGCTGGAGTGCAGTGGCATAATCTTGGCTCACTGCAACCTCCGCCTCCCAGGGCGCGCACCCCCACACCTGGCTAATTTTTATATTTTTAGTAGAGGCAGGGTTTCACCATGTTAGTCAGGCTGGTCTGGAACTCCTGACCTCCTGATTCACCCACCACGGCCTCCCAAAGGGCTGGGATTACAGGCGTGAGCCACCGCGCCCAGCCTAAAGCAGTGTTTTTAAAGTGTGATTCACCGACAACTTGTACCAGAACAACCTGTGAAGCTTGCTCAGTAAAATCACGTTTTCTGGGCCCCTCTCTAGATTCAGCAAATCAGAAAATCTGGAAGTGAGGCCAAGAAAGCTTTTAGCAAAGTCATCAGGGGTTCTTACTCACATCAAGTCTGAGATGCAGTGATTCCCCGGCGGCCTTTCTGACAACTCTGGATGAGAGGGCCTGGTTCCTGCGTGGGATGCTTTGGATTTGGTTGTCCTCAGGCCATCTGAACTTGTGAATTAGAGTTGGCAGCTAAGAAAACCAAGAGAGGAAAATGCACCATTCAGAAAGACTCCTCATCTTCTCTCCTCCATCTGCCAGGGCCACTGTGGCCAGAAGCCCAATTTTACCCATTTAATGGAGAAGATGGAAAGTGCCTGGGCATTTTGTCACCATGAGTATGAAGAGAAAATTGTGATTTTCCCATCTGAGTATTTCTTTGAGGAACGTTGACCTTAGTGGAGTTATCAGATGTTCCCTGGATTCATTCATTTGTTCCTCCATCCATTCTTTCTTGCATTCAGTGAACATGTATTGATTGGCCCTATGCCAGGACCTGGGCCAGCTAGAGGAATACAAAGACCAACCAAACAGAGCCCGTGTTCAAGTGTGAAAGTGGATGATCAGAAGGGGCAATGTGTTATTCTATGACAGCAGTGAACCCACCTCTAAAGCAGACTGGTACCATTCAAAGCTTTCCAGAGGAGGCCACACCTGGACTGGGTTTTGAAGAGTGAGTAGGAGTTGGTCCAACATGGGGCTGGGCAGGGTGAGAAAGGCACTTGAGGCAGAGAGTGGTGTGTGTGACACAGAGTGCGAAACAGATTGCGGCTTGGGGTCTGTGGATCATATTGTATGACTGGGAGAGCAGCAGGAAATAAGGATAGACAGCAGGGGTGTTCCGATCCCCCAGGGTGTCATGTGTGGATTTAAGAAGTAAGAGTTTCTCTCTCAAAGATGTATAGGGATGCTGATGGGTTTGCAAAGGGGTGAAAAAGATAAGATTCGGTCTGGCAAATTTGACCATTGCTGTCACTTGCAAAGGAAAGCAGAGAGACCCATTAAGAGATAAGTCCTGGCCAGGCACGGTGGCTCATGCCTGTAATCCCAGCACTTTGGGAAGCCAAGGTGGGTGGATCACGAGGTCAAGAGTTCAAGACCGGCCTGGCCAATATGGTGACACCATGTCTTTACTAAAAGTACAAAAATTAGCCAGGCGTGGTGACATGCACCTGTAGTCCCAGCTACTCAGGAGGCTGAGGCAGAAGAATCGCTTGAACCCAGGAGATGGAGGTTGCAGTGAGCCAAGATGGCGCCACTGCACTCCAGCCTGGACAACTGAGTGAGACTCCGTCTAAAAAAAAAAAAAAGAGATAAGTCCTGAGTTACAACAGTGGTCTTAAAATAGAGGGAAATGACTGATAAAAGAGACATTAATCTGCAGAACTCAGTAACTGACTGGATATGGGCAAGGGATGCGATGAAGGAGTCAAGAATAACACACCTGGGTTTATGACCTGGACAACTGGGTGGGTGTTATCATGCAAGATAAAGGAATTAGGAAAAACAAGTGTTTGCTGAAGAGGAAGAAGGATGATCAAGGTCATTTTGGACTCATGCCTCTGCCACACTTGGGAGAAGATATCTAGTAGCAGGGGAATCACAGGGTTGGAAGGAAGGAAGGCGGTCAGGGCTGAAGATGTAAATGTGGGAGCTATTGCGGGAGTCTGAGGCCCTGTGAGGAGAGAGTGAGACGCATGGAGTGGACTTGGAGTGCCAAGCCCAGAGCGGGTAGCATGGAACCCGGGGCCAAACCGAGAAAGAAGACCCAGGAAGGAGGCTTAGAACGACTGGGCAGAGAGGACATTTGGTGACTCTGCCATGGGTCCTTCTTGTTTGGCCACTTACTTGTCAAGTATTTCCATGTAGTAGGCCGTTGGTGACTTCTGTTTTCACCAGGAGCTACTTACTCTCCTTTCTGCTCTAATCTGAGGACCACAGGCAGACATCCTTGGCAACGGGAGGATCCTAGATGGCCCTTCCTGTGGACTCAGGCTGGATGACTTGAGTGAGGTCCAGCACCCTTGTGACTGCTTGGCACTGGTGGCCAAGAGAGGGAAGTGTAAGGAGGAGGTGGGTTACTCATCTGTGTGGCTGCTGGGCAGACACGAGGAAGCGAGTTCAGAAGCCAAACCCCATGTCAGAGGTGGCCATGAGGCCACCAGAGCCTCTGTGAACCTCCATCGAAGGCACTTGTCATTGTCATGCTTAACACAGTGATGGGGGGCAGTGTGAGGTAATGGGCAGGTGCCCCGGCTTTGGGGTTAGATCTCCCTGTTATCTTTCTAAGCCCTGTAACTTTGGGAAAGAAGTTTCTTTAACTTCCTACATCTCAGTTCTCTCCTCTCACTAAACTGAGAAAATACATAGTCCTAGGGTTGTCCTGCAGATTAAAACAGGTAAGTATGCCTCTGTGAATCCTCCAGCACAGTGCTTGGGACGGGGTAGCAGGTGTTCCGGAAATGACAGCCACCTTCTCCCTTCCCTCTTCCCTCAGCCCTGGCCAGAAGCATGGTACTCACCTGCAAGGGGTTTTGAGGGTTTGGGCTGAGACTTACACTTGAGTCCATGAGACAAACATGCAGGACAGGGTGTTTCAGGAAGAGGAACAGCAAAGGCTAAAGTGAGGAGCTGTGGAAGGGCATGGCAAGTTTGAGGACGGATAACTAAATAAGTGATGTAGTGACAATGTCATAAAACATTGCTGGGGATGAGCCTGGGAAGCTATAGATGGGGCTAGATTTTAAAGAGCGTTGAGAGCTCTGCCAAGGAGTCTTACTCGATCCTGTAGGCTTGATGGGATGGGAGATGGGGGTGATACTATGACATCAGTGCTCTAGAGTCATTGTTCTTTGACAGCTTCTAACAAGGAGCAGTTTTATGGCTCTATAGGGAAACTCTTACAGAGGAATGTTAACCCCCTGATAGCTGAGGGACAGAAACATACTGAAGGGAGAGGCTGAGGGCTTCCCAGGACCCCACCAATATAAATTACCAAACTGCTTATAGCTAAGACCCCATTGCCTGGAAACCAACTGACCACCATGGCCTCAGAACCTGGGCGCTTTGACAGCTGGATTCTTGACATCCGTTGATCTAAAGCTAGAAACCTACTACTTCATCACCTTCAATGTGTTTCTCAGTGTCTCCTTTCCTGACTGTGGAAGGCAGGTAAATTATGTGCTTATTATGTGTTAGGCTCTGTGCCAGGTCTTCTGCTTTGAATTCTGTGCTATAATTCTCAAAACCACGTTTCAGGACGGATACCATTCCCTGTCTTACAGCGGAAATACCAAGACTCAGAGAGGTGAAGCAGTTTGTCCCTAGTCACTCTGGTTATAAATGGTGCTGCCAGGATTCACACCATGGCTTTCTGACTATAAAGACCTGTTTATTTTACTGCCACTTCCATCCATCTCCTGTCCTGTGGCCAAGGCACCCTAACATGACTTCCTGTGCTTGTGGTCCTGAGGCAGGTTTGGGTGCCTGGGAGGGTGGAGGAAGGGAGGGAGCAAGCTCATGCTGGGACCATCTACAGACATTGTCCTGGAAGGTTTGCTTTCGGTCAGTCTCCATTTATTTTCAAGGTTTTGTGAAGAGCTGGTGCTTTAACAAATCTGAAATTCTAAAGGCATCAGAACGCTGCTGAAAACGAAGTGTCCCAATGTTCTGCAGGTCCAGCGGAACCCTAGTTCAGAAAACCCACGACTGGCAGGGCTGCTGATGTTCACCTCGCAGCTACAGGCAATGGCCATTGGAGGCACTTCCTCAGCCTTCAAGGCATCTGGGGGCTGTCGACATAGCTGGGACTTCATAAGCCCTACTGAATGTGGCAGCTTTTCAGGGAGGGAACCCGGGCCAGAAACATTCATAATTAGCTGTGTATTAGCCCAACCTCAGGGACTAAAAAGCCAGGCTGAGGTCAATTCCGGAGAGACGGATGTGCTTCCCGCCTCCCTACGGGCAGGCAGCTGTCTATGGAATGTCACGGGGAGGTGGCACAGAGCAAAGCTCCCTGCAGGCTCCCTGTCGTTCGAACCCATGGAAGATGATGCTGTCTTGCAAAGGATAGTCATGGCTACTCTGCCACCCTGCATGCCTCAGTTTCCCTCATCCCCAACTATTGTACAGTACTGCCTTGAACAGGAAAAATGATGACTTTTAGGTGAGGAAAAGGAGTAACCACAGGCTTGTAAGAGACTGGAGGGAGGAGGTTTGGGGGACGGGGGTCAGCCTGTAGTCTAGTAGAGACCGTGTGGGTCTGAGTCCACAGCTTCCAGATTGCAATGGGACAGAGAGGCCTGGCTGTGCCCTGTGTGTGGCAAGTGAGTGATGGAAGGTTGAGGGTGAGGTAAGTGCCTTGAGTTCTTCTTCTCTGTCTGGGGCTGAGCTTGCCCAAGAAGGGACAAAACCATAATCAAAGGCACAAATTGGATTTTCTAGAAACTTTGGCATCTGTCCTGCTGCAGGCCTCTGACCCCGCTGCCCTACCTGCACGGCTGCCCCTCAGCACCTCCTGGGACCTCCAGCCAGTCTTGTTTGATATAACCTCCTCTTACTCTACATTCTTCTTGAACAATGTCCAGTGTTGTCCCTTCCATCACGTGGGAAGGGAGAAAAGGGATGGAGCATGTTCCCCACATCAGTGCTTAATGGTTTGCATTGTTTATGTCACTTAATTCTAAAAATAATCCTATACGGTATGTGCCATTTCATAGACTGGGAAACCGAAGTTCATGAAGTTTGGGTGATTGACCAATATCTTTTAGCTGGTGATTGACATTTGAATCCACTTCAAAGGTTGTATAACACCTCCTCGCACCAGGGAAAGAGATCCAGTGTTGGGGCATTTAGCTTCCTTTCCTCTCCCAGAGAGGCCTCCTTCCAGAGACTTACAAAGGACTGGGGTTCCTCACCTCCCCAGGCACTCCTTCCCTGCATAGCATCAAGAGGTGTCCCTGTGCAGGGTAAGAGTCTGGCATAGGGGTCACTTTGTGTCCCACTTCTGTCTCTTTCTAGCTGCATGACACTGATAGAGTTACTTAACTTCTCTTGGTCTCAGTTACCTTATCACTAAAGGGAACTGCAGGGGTAGATGGTAATACCCCATAGGATTATGTTGAGGTTTAAAGAAAGAGTGTGTGCAGCATAACTTGTGCTGTTCCTAGCATCGAGTACATACCAATGAATGGAAGTAGTCATTGCCAGGCAATTTTTCGACACATCAGTTTAGTTTGATCCATATCTAGGAACACCTGAGTGCTGAGAGGTACAGATGCTGTGTGATGTAGTGGAACAGCCACTGGACCCAAGTCAGAGCAGTCGGGTACGTGTCTTGAATCAGCCGCCTGCTAGTCTGAGAGTGTGGATGAGACATGGAATCACTCCAAGCCTCAGTTTCATCTTCTGTAAACTGGGAGCTTAGCAGTGACCCCTGTCCCATGTGCTGACCCCATAGGGCTGTTTAGAGGATCTACAAGGTGATGTCCATGCCAGAGTGGTATGTAGAGGAGCTGTTAGTGCTGCACAAAACTGGGACAGGACCCTGTCCCCGCCCTGGAGGAATGCTTGGTGTGATTGGCAACACTCAGTTAGGAAACTCGGGCAAAACATTGGTATCACACCAGGGCTGACGTGTTGCTGCAGACAAAGCTGGACACTCTGGCCCATAGCCTGCTGCTGGCGTGAGGCTTGTTTGGATTTGTGGGTCCTCACTGCAGATGGAGGAGCTCAGCAAAGCTCTTGAGGAGATTTTTGCTTTCAGGAAACAAATTCAGTTCCTATCTTTGGATTTCTGTTGTCTTTCAGGGCCAGCTGGGTCTGCCTGAAATCTTGGCCGTCATTTGAGGATTTTTCCGTGCAAGTGGAGATTATTCCAAAAAAGTCTTCCCGCTTCTCTGCTCCTTCTTGCCTTTTCCAGCTTGTCCCAGAGTTTCCAGGGGAAGGGAAAGTGGAATTCGCTCTCTTCATCCCTGTATGTGAGGCGTGGCGTTAGATGGTGTGCATGTGTTTTTACGTTGCATCTCCACAACATTGTGACCTGGTGGATGTTATCATCAGTTTACAGATGTTGAATGAGAGTCGGAATCAGTAAATTTGAAGGAGAATTTTATTCCTGGGTTCACATGCATGAAACGTATGGAACATATAACCTGTGTTCACTTTGGGGTGGAGAGTTAACATTTAAATGTATTCTATCTGGATCGTAAACGTAAAAAGGTGAACTAGAGTACAAGTCCACCCTCTGGGCAGTCTTAAGACACCAGTCCAAACCTGTTCGCAGACATCCATCCATCAAGAAGGAAGCCTCTGCGGCCCAGTGTGGCTGTCAGGTCAGAACCATATAAACAGGAGGAGGGCGCTCGGTGGTTGGATGAAGTGAAGTCTTCTGGCTTGGCTTTTTGTCCTCCTTAAGTCAGCCTTTGATTAAAATCTGCCAATAGTTAGTAAGGTAAAGGGACTTGCAGCAAGCGGGACGCATCTGGTCTCTGTCCTGCCATGGTCGGGAACTTAAAACTCCAAGGTCTTTTGGCCAAAGGAGGAGGGTTCATCAGTCCACTGAAGGCATGCAGGACTTTTATTTCAGTTCTCACAGATGAGGGAACTCAGGCTTGGAGAGGCTGAATAACTCACTCAAGGGTGTAAGTGCAGGAGCTGGTAAGCAGCCATATCAGGCTTTAAACCATCCTAAGCTGCTACTTCTACGCTTAGCTCTGTATTTTCTCCAGAAGGTTCCCTCCATCCTGTGCCTTGGAAGACCTCACACAGCTGCGAGCTCACACATCTTCCAGCCTTTACCCCATCGACACACTGACTCCTACGCTGCCTGCTAGCATACCACGTGGGGGTGGCTTTGTGTGGCATTTGTGAAGTTGGTTGAAGCACCACCCAGGGAGAGTGTAGTTCGTTTTCATAAACAGATAAGATTCTTGAGGGTAGGATTTATGTATTCATGGAACAGATATGAATTGTGCATTGACTGTGTGCAGACACCATTCTAAGCACAGGGGATAAAGCAGTGGACAGAAGGGACACATTCTATTGTTTTCCTGAAACGTATATTTTAGTGGAGAGCAGACAGAGAATGTTAACTATCCACAAACTTACTAACTAGCCAGCTGACCAACACGTACAGTTTGCCAGGTGGTAGAAGTGCCATGGAGAAATAGAACAAGAAATGGATGGGATGGGAAGTATCACCGGGGGAGGTGTTTACCATTTAAAAAGGCTCAGACACAGCCTGCTGCAAAATGACATTTGAACACAATCTGAAGGAGATAAGGGACAAGCAACGGAGCTAATGCGAGGAGCCTGGAGGGCATTACGCTAAGTGAAATAAGCCTGGCACAGAAGGAAATACTGCATATGTTACTTGCATGTGTACTTAAAAAAAAATCAAACTTACAGAGGCAGAGACTAGAGTGGTGGTTACCAGGGATTGAAGGCCGGGGTTCGGGAAATGGGGAGATGTTGGTTAAAGGGGGCAAAGTTTCAGTTAAACAGGAAAAATAAATTCTGGAAATCTATCGTACAGCACAGTGACTATAATTAATAATAAACTGCCCAAAGAATAGATTTTAAATGTTCTCCTATCAAAATTGAAAAGCATGTGAGGTGATGGATATGTTAACTAGCTTGATTTCATCATTCCACAATGTATACATATTTCAGAACATCATGTTGGACTCCATAAACATTTGTTAATTAAAAAAATGTAAAAGAGATAGAATGGGATGAGCACTCTAGGAAGAGCACTTTGCAATTGCAAAGGCCCTGAGGTAGGAGGTGCGGGTCTGTTTGCTAGTGGAGGGTAGGCTCATGGGACTGGCATGGACCAAATGGGACAGGTGTGAGAGACAGGCCAGAGAAGTGACAGGCGGGATAGAAGAGGGGAGCTCCAGGTGGACATAAATCATCCTGTTTAATTTGTCCTTTTTTGTGAACAAGACAGGGAGTTAGAGGAAAGTTCTGAACTGAGGAGTGACATGACCTGAGTCACATTTTAACAGGATCCCTCTGGCTGCTTCGTTGGGAAATACCAGAAAGAAGAGGTGCTCAAAAGTTAGGAAGCTATTGCAACAATCCAGGCAAGTCGGTTAGTGCCCAGGACTATATGTGCCTGTGTTTCTTTGTGTTCCAGTCTCCTTCTGCTATAGCTTAGAAAGGAACGCTTGGCAAATTGTACACGCTCCAGAAAAACTTGTTAGAAAATGAAAGCAAGAATGACAGTGTTGTGTGAGTGTGAGCGTTACTGCTGGGATCCAAGCCTCAGCTCCGCTACTGTGCAAGATGTGTGGCCTGGGATAGTGACTTTACCTCTCTGTGCCTCAGGCTGCAATCTGTAAATGGGAATATGACAGCAGCAACTCCATAGGCTTTTTATTGGGGGTGGGGGCGGGGTGAGAATTGCATGCAATAATGTATATGAAGTGCTTAGAATAAGAGGGCCTGGACCATAATTAGTGCTCAATAAATATCAATAATTACCAGTGCAAAAAACAGTTTTATGCACGTTTGTTGAAGAAGACAGGAAAACGTTGAGAGAAACATAAAAATCTCTGTGAATTATTTGTGAATTTGGGAAATTCAGAATATTCACTTTGCTGTATTTCCATTCAAGCCTTGTGATTTTTGTCTACTACATTTTTCTTTCCTGTTATAGAATCAGATGTTGTTTTTGGTGATGTAAGTTACCAGGGCTGGTGGTCTGATCTGGAGGAACTGGGAGGTGAGTTTCAGCCCCCTCCCCCAGATTCTCTCCGTTGCAGAACAGCGCTGTGTCCTCTTCCTTCGATCAAGCTTCAAAGCTTCATGGCAACCACATTTAACGTTTATTGCTAATGTTATTAGTTTCTAATCAGAGCCTACTGCGATTATTACCTAATAGCTATTGCTTTGCACTTCCAACCAGATGTCAAAAATAATGAGCCAATAAGACTGCTATTAATTTAGACTGAATGACAATTTTAGGCCCTCGGAGCTGAAGATTAGGGGCCTCGTAAAAGCAGGGCACAAAATTCGAGTGCTCAAAAGTAATAGCAAAAATGGTAAGAATATGAATTAAAGGTAAGTGTTTCTAATTTACAAATGAAACTTACAGCTTGGAATATCAATGTTTCTCCTGCATTCTCCTATGATGAATGGAGCAGTCCTCATGGATCCCAGCCTCCGGGATTTTCATAGAATGGCTCAGAAAATTTGCTGTCTATAGGAAGAAGAGATGATATTAGCATAGATCTGTTTACCATGGTCTTGTTTGGTTCCAGTGAGAGAATGGGGCCAGGGCAGCAAGTGCCTGGAGAGGAGACCTTCTCCCGGCATCACGCATTCTTCCGTGAAACGCGTCTCCGTTTTCTGACAGGCTCTGGTGCATTCTGATTGACCTCCAGATGCCTTTCCTGACATGCACCCCATCGTAGATGATTACCCCCCTTCTAACTCACAGATGCTGTCATCCTGTACGCTACTGGGTATGGGATGCTTGGGTTCAAATCTTAATTGCATTATGCTCTGAGGGTGTGACCTTGAGCAAGATGTCCATCATCTCTGAATCTTAGTTCCCTCCCTTTTTAAGGTGTCCATATTAATAGCACGTATCTTGAAGGATTACCACTGAGCATTGGAAGAAATAGCAGATACAAGGATCTCGGCACAGTGCCTATCACACCAATGAACTGGAGAAATTATCACTGTTGCTTGAACACAAGGGCTCTGTTTCTCTTTCACCTTGATCATTTATTCCCTCTGTTTATTCACGCCTTTAGGTACCTATTTATCAAGGCAGGGGAAAAATTTTGAAAAGTTCACTTCTTTCCTTCCTCCAGTCCTCGTATATTAATTCTTAGGCCCAGGCCTGTTTCATTTCACTGTGTTCTACCATTTTAAAGACAAACATTGTCCAAAGGCACGCTATGGCTCCTTTTGGCATATATCTGTTTACCATGGTCCTGTTCAGTTCCAGTGAGAGAGTGGGGCCAGGTCAGCAAGTGCCTGGAAGAGGAGACCTTCTCCAGGCACCACGCATTGCTCCATGAAACGTGTCTCCATTTTGCTGCCAGGCTCTGGTGCACTCTGATTGACTTCCAGATGCACCAGAGCCTGTCATATAAGGGGGTGGGGTACAGAGGTGGAGACCCAGTCTGTGCTACAATACCGTTAGTGTCTGGTGGGTGTCATGGAGGAAAGAGATCCCTGGTGTAAGGGCGAGGTGAGCAGGGAGCAGTAAGGCTGCAGAATGGTGTCCTGTCTGGCCCGAGATGTTGTTGGAGAGACAGGCTAATTGCTCTCAAATGGCTAATTTTTCCACTAGGCATAAAGATACACTCCATGGATGGACATCAGAAATGATGTCCTCCATCCACCTTTAACTTTTTAAGGCCTGGCCCATAAACCCTCCCTGTCAGGCTTCCTGGTACCTCTTCCCTGGCTGCCAGCTGGATGCTGAGGCCCTGGGGGGCTGAGCCACTACTGGTGGGGTGGAGTCTGGGCCTGAATGGCTGAGTGAAACAGAAGTCATGGGATGGGCAGGTGAGCACATGCACCGTCATGGTGTTGACACATGGTGGCACAGGATTGTCTGTTACAGCAGCCAGGCTTCTCTGACTAATGCAGACCAACAGGACTTTTCCAGGCCATTCGGGAAGCAGGCAGAGGGTGCTGCAGCCAGGGGGAACAGCGTGAGTCTAGATGGGCATTGCGGAGCGAGATGCCCCCATGTGTGCTCTAAGAACTAAAGGGGACCAGGATTGCAAAACGACATGGTGCGAAGCAGATGGGGAATGTGGAGGCAGAAGGAGCTGGCTGCAGAGAGGCTGAGGACATGCATGCCATCTGGGGTTACTCAGGAGGCAGTGGGAGCCACCAGGGACTGTTGAGCAAGAGCTCTGATGGAATCTTGCTTTGGACGTGCCATGCTGGTGGCACTCCTCCAATGGAGGTACAGGACCCATGCCAGACTGATGAATCAGGAGGCTCTGGGAATGACCCGGGAGGCAGCATGAAGGCCTGGACTAGGAAAGTGTAGGGAGGCAGGAGCAGGGCTTATTGAGGAATTATTTAGGAGGTCGAATTCAAGGGACTCAGTGGTTGTTTTTTTTAGCATATAGATTTTTGGTGTGCAATATGATGCTTTGATCTATATCTAAATAGTGAAATGATTACTACAGTCATGCAAATTAGCATGTCCATCACCTGCCATCGTTACCTTTTTATGTTGTTGTAAGAGACCCTAAAATCTCTTCTCCGAACAAATTTTCAGTATATCATCCAATAACATTAACTCTAGTCCTCATGCTGTTCGTTGGCTCTCCAGAGCTTTTCATCCTGCATAATGGCAAGTTTGCCTCCTTTGACCTACCCTTCTCCATTTCCTCTCCTGGTAAGCTCAGTGGCTGTTTTGAACTGGGGTAGTCTTGCTGTTCCTTTTACATCCTTGTATCCACTTCCTTTCTATTATATATTTATTTCCTGTTTGAATGTGGGGACACACTGACTAATGCAAATGTTGAATTGGTTCTTGTTTTCTGGTGCATTCTTGCTGGCAACAGAAGATGCTGATCTAGGCTGATGCCAGGCAAACCCTACCTTGTCCTGCCCCTGACACTGCCATCATCCAGGCAGTTCTAAGGACGCGCTGGGGGAGCCGAGCACCCAGGTGCGCATTTTCCCATCTCTGCCTTCCATGCTGTGCCCCCTCCATGGATTCTTCCATTAGTGACCCTGGGATTTTAAGACTTGTAGCCTGAGCACTCACAGGAAGGTGTGGGGACTGAGTAATCCTCTCAATTGAGCCTGTTAATAAATTTGTCATCACACTAGAAGAGGGGACATGATTTTAAATTGATTCGTGCAGAATTTTCATGTGTTCAGCACAGCGAACTTTGCTTTTGGTGCTCTGGTTAAGCGTTGGTGTGTTAATTGAGTCACCGGTTCAGCCTGATTATTCTTGCTGCTGTAAAAGTAGAAATCAATATTAATATTTCCTCACTGTTAACTGTCTCTCTAGAACCAATATTTTTTCCCCTCCTTCTCCTCCTATGACTTTGTTATCTTTGCATTTCTAATTGTGTCTGAAATTTACGGAGTGTCTTTTTTTGGTAAAGAACTACAGTTTGTGATGATGCTGCATTTCACATCACGTCTGGGATCAGTGTTTGTAATAGATTCTCTTTTATGCTCAGCTCCTGAAGAGCACTCTCATTATCTGATAAGAGAAGATGATCTTTGCTGGCCTTCTGAGGTAATGAATCCTTTTCATTTGTTTTCTTGCATACTTTCTAGGTCAGTGAGCGGAGGGAATTTTTGTCCAACGTGCACCTTGACAGAGCTTCACTGACCACGGGCTGTGTCTCCCTGCGGCCGCGCAGCACCTCTGACCACAGACCTCTCTCCAGAGCCGTGTGTTTGCTCCTCACCTGACAGGCTGTGTGAGAACCCATCTGTGCTTCCCCGGGATGTCTGCCTGCATGCATGCACCCCCCGACTGTGCATGGGAACCCTGCTGGGCCTGTAGGTGGAATTATTTCTCAGCTTTAATCTGAGTACATAATCGAGGCTTGTGCCAGCAAGGACTCCCATCCTTTTCTTTCCTCACACTCCACACGTAGTGCTGCTCAGTGATTTTCCTGTTCCTCTAGGAACGGCTCCCACCTGCTTAGAGTGTAAGATTTATCTCCTTAGCACGCCGTGGGAAGTCTCCTAAAATCCATCCACTGCTTATCTCTTTGGTCTCATCTCTCGGCCCCCTGTGATGAAACGCTGATCTCCAGTCATGCAGAGGTGCTTGCAACTTTCTGAAAGCTCCTTTCAAAGGTGCCTTTGCCTGCTGTTCCCTCTTCCTTCAGGGTCCTTCCCCAATAGCCACTGCTCTTGGCTAAGTTCTGAGAGGTTGCTGCACCTCCTGGGGGTGTTGGCCATTTTCTCCCTTCGAGGTTCTTATTGTCTGCCTTTTTCTCTTTCTCTACTAGACTGTAAGCTCCCATAAAGTGGGGCCTCTGTCTCACCCCCATCTCTGTGGCCTCCATCTAGCATGTGTCCTAGATGTGCTGGTCAAGCCTTGCTGAGCGCTGCCTTTTCATGCGTATTAGGACAATTCAGCCCAATGGCAAGTGGCTCGTTCCATCTCCAACACACTCCTGTCAACCATCCTTTTCCCTGGCTCTCTTCAGTTTAACCCTTTGTGGGCATACCATCGTGCATTAGTTGGAATCAGATTGATACTGGAGGTGCTTTTATTTTCCAGCAATGTCTGGGGAAAGTGTGCCTGTGTACTTTTCACGTATGTCTGTTGGAGGAAAAGTTTTCATCATGCATTTATTCTTGTATCGATTGCACAAAATTGCTTAAGGTTCTCCTCTGTGTGTGGTTTCTTGGGAGCTTGGACCACTTTACATGATGAATACGACAGAGTAGAGCCCCTGTTAGGAAACAGGCATCTATAGAATGCTATGGGTACATCAAGAGCCGCCTGATGGAAATGGGTCACAGCTGGCACTCCAAAGGAGGCAACGTTTGAGCTGCGTTGGCAGGAAAAGCTGGCATTTGCCAATGAGGACTTGGAGGGTTCTCCAGGAGCGGGGCATGCAGAGAGCCCATTGCGTGGAGACTTGTAGGGAGCCATGGGGACTTTGGTTTGTCTTAAGGACAACGTGTGTTTGTGCGTACAAGGCGGGGGGCGGGATGAAGAATGGCAGATAAAGCTGAAGAAGTGAGTAGAGGCCAGATCACAGGCTCCTCCTTGTGTCCTGGATAAACATGGGGACGCTGGAGGTTTAATCAGCGGCATGGCGTGGTAAGATTTCCAAGTAGAAAGATCATTTTGGTGATGAATTGCAAGGACTGGCCGATTCCCCTGGTGGTAGGAAAACAGGTGACCAGGCTGGTTTCCAGTGGATCTGGGCTGGGGCTGTGCCTCTGGGTAGTGGTTAGGAATAAGCTGAGAGACAATCTCAAGTCAGGCTCTGCTGTGGGGCATGTGTTCCCTGCCGAGTGTGTGAGATGTGAGTGCCTGTCCTGCCAGCTGTGCTTCCTTCCCCCGTCTCGTGGTGCTGGGGGCTGAGCCCTGTGACTCCAACTGACAGCTTCATTTCACAAATTAAGCATACCATGCAAGTGAACGGTTTCAGAACCACAGCATTACAGGATAAGAAAACCTCAGTAGCCCTAAGTCTATGACGCTCCTGAAGCAAACAATTCTCTGAAACATTTACCCAACACCTCAGAGCTCCCCGCAACAGGTCTACCTCTTTGGAAAGGTCAGACTTTTTAAAGGTTAATTGTTACCCTTAAGAAAAATGCAAAACAAACGGCATGGCTGCATATTTAATAGGTGTTTGGTACAACATTTCCCAGAAGCACAATTCCTGACGATTTGATTTTTAAAAAGAATGGTCTAGAAATAAAGTGCCCTTGGCAACTTCTGACTTGAAAAAAGTGAATATGCCACCTGTGGTTTAAGGAGTATTATTATTATACGTCTGAAATGTCCTCTCCCTCCTCCCCTTTCCCCAAAGAAAACAAACTGAGTCAGACAGTAATTTGACCATTGCTAAGTCCTGGGTCTTTGCACAGTGACGGCTGAACAGCCGAGCATAGAGCAACCTGGATATCTTATCCTTGGCTGCCTTCTCTTGCCTACTCTTTCTCCCTCAGCTTTCTCCTCTGCTCCCAGCATTGACCAGGCACCTGTCTGAAGCCGAGCTCTCCATCGGACTCCCCAACACCTCCCACATAGCTTACCAAAGAGCTCTCCCCGGACACCTTGCTGGCTCCTCAGTGCAATTTGTCTAAACCAATTTAGCGTCTCTCTTTTCCATGGCTCTGGTTCTGCCCTTAACTTCTTCCCTCTGCTGAGCTCTCCTCTCCTCCCTGTGCTCATCTCGCCTCCAGCTTGGATTCTCTAGTTGTTTTCTCAGGACTCATTGTTCTTCTAGCCCTCCGTCCACCCTGGTGCTGGGTCCTATTGAGCTGTTTTCTCCCAGTCTATCTCAGGACTGTCTGTTTTCATTGCGGCAGCCACGACTGTAGTCGGAACCTCTCTCCTGGATCACTGCAATAACTTCCCGATTGTCTCTATTATAGATCATCCATTTTACCCACTGACACAAGACATTTTCTGGAAGATCCATTATGATTCTGCAAATTCCTTGATCAAAATTTTTACTGTTTCCTTACTGTCTATGGCATGAAACTCAGAATTTCAGTGTTCACTGCCTTTCTACCTTAATCCCTTACTACCTTTTCTTTTCAGTAACCTTCATCACCTCGAAGTGGATGATCTCCGTTTTCTAAGCGGGCAGCTCACCCCCTCCCTCTGTGCCTCTACTGCTGCTGTCCACACACCTGGAATGCCCTCTGCAGCCTGCACAGGGAGTCCCCCCTCCTTCAAGCATTGGTCAGAGGCCCCATCCTCCTATGAGCTCCCTGGTTGCTGCAGTCTGGTGCATTCCTAGAGTGCCATTTCTCACAGGTCCCTGGGTACAACAGCTGTTTGTATCTGTTGGTTATGAATCTGGGGGGAACGGTGGCATATTTGTCTTATAGCCCCACAGGCAAACTTTCTGAACCTCTGGTTTTTAGTCTGTAGAATGGGTATAGCCGTTCCTTCAAAATAGGTGTTTGAAGAATATTCAATATTAAAGCTCAATATGTATAAGTATGTAAAGCTCCTAACAGCGTATCTGGAACATAGTAGTAAACACACAATCATTGTCCATAGCAGGTACGGCCATTTTCAAAGGAAGGAAAAAAGGAAAAGAGGAAGGAAAGAAGGAAGGCCGAATAAAGGAAGGAAGAAAGGCAAGAAGGGAGGGAGGGAGGAAAGGAGGAAGGCAGGAAGGCAGGGTGAGAAGAAGAAAGGAGGGAAGGGTAAGAAAGCTAATTTTCGAGCACTTCCTTAACTGTGCCCCTCCCTGCAGTCAGATCCCCATGCCTTTACCCATACTCTGGGTTTACCTGAACACGCGGCCATGTGCTGAACACCCTCTCCTTCCAGCTCCAGATGTTTTCCTGCAGCTCTCTACCTCGGCTGGCCTCTTTGCGGGGAATTAACGGCCTCTCCTACTTTCTGGCTCACAGTTGCGCTGGGCCAGTGGGGCATCTTGAAAGGAGAGAGAGAGACAAGGTATTTCTTCCTGACTTCTTCCCTCTGTGGTTGCCCAGGCTGGCTGTTCCTGACCAAAGGCCTCCTGGCCTGACGCAGCTGTCTTTCCTCTTCCAGTGGCTGCTCCTGCCCCTCTTCAGGTGAGGAACACGCTGGCTTGTGGATTCCTTATTCCCTGCTCACAACGTGTAGCCCTTCATTAAACACCCCTAACACGTTCCAGATAGTCTTCCTTCCAAGACCCCGAGGAACACACTCCATGCATGCCTTGTGTTTCAAATCTCAGAATCACTGTGTCAAGCAAGAGAAGCCACCCAGGAAAGATATGTGGGTGAAGTCAAGAACAGGCAGGACCGACCTACTGCGATGGAAGTCAGAACACTGGAGGTTCGGTTTTGGATTGGAGTTGACTTGAGGAAACTTTCTGAGGTTTGGAAATGCTCTGTATCCTGTTTAGGGCGGTGGTCGTGTGAGTATATGCAATTGTCAAAACTCATTGAACACATACACAGATTTTATGGTGTCTAAATGATACCCCAATAAGAAATAAATACATAGGATTACAAAGGAAAATAATCATATTAAAATATGATTATTAAGATGTCCAATACAAAGAAGATCCTTGCAGTTCCTCAACACATACAGCAACACACGCTTCAGAATCCTAAGCTCCAAAACCCCATGGATGCACTGTCTGGATGGACCTCTAACAAAGCAACCCCTGTGGGTGCAGCGCCCATCTTGCTGCCCAGTACTGCATGGGATATTAATCTGGAATCCTTGCACGATCAGGTGTCACACTGAGTACAGGCAATGCCTTTTCCAAGGGAATGTATGACTCTCGGAAACAGAGACATGGTCCCTGGCACAATCCCAAGCACAGAGTAGGCACCTAAAGCTTGAAACCAGAAGTCAGCCCTCACTTAACAAATGGAAGAAGAGTCCAATGGATTCTTATTCTGGGCTAGGCAGCAGGTTAGCTACTAGAAGAGCCTATTCTTCATTTTTTAAATTGAATCTCATAAACTCAGAAGACTCCTTGGCTGTTGGAGGTTTAGATGAATCTGGCTCACCTCTCAACCCCAGGGGTTCAAAGCTTGTGAAAATGCTTTTTTTCTCCAGAGATGTCCCCTTCTCTACCCCCTTGGCTGTGACTGTCACCTCACCACTACCTCCATGATAATCTGGGCTCAGAGGTCTGCCATTTGGGTGAGAAAATCCGCTCCAGCCAAGCAATGTGTGCTGAGTGGCTTCATGAAGGACATTAGGGTGCCGTGGTGCAGGGTAACCGCTGACTGATTATCATCAGCCTCCAATGTGCTCCCTGCATGCTTGCTTGCAGTCCCCTGACTCCTTTAACTTAAATCCCGGCAGGTGACCTTCTATACCCTGAACATTCACTTGGGAAGTGGAAACTATTTCCTCTTCTTCTACTTCTCCTTCTCCTTCTTCTTCTTCTTCTTTTTTTTTTTTTTCTGAGACGAAGTCGCGCTCTGTAGCCTAGGCTGGAGTACAGTGGCTCGATCTTGGCTCACTGCAAGCTCTGCTTCTCCGGTCCCAGGTCAAGCAATTCTCCTGCCTCAGCCTTCCAAGTGGCTGGGATTATAGGCATGTGTCACCACGCCCAGCTAATTTTTGTATTTTTAGTAGAGACGGAGTTTCACTGTGTCGGCCAGGCTGGTCTTGGACTCGTGACCTCGTGATCCGCCTGCCTCAGCCACCCGAAGTGCTGGGATCACAGGCGTTAGTCATCGCACCTGGTCAAAACTATTCCTTCAACTTTCCCCCAAACACAGGGGCCTATTTCTGACTTAAAAAAAATTTTTTTTCAGGGATCAACCAAGCTAGGCCGTTTTGCCTTTCATACAATTTCCTGAAATTCCAGTGAATAACTTTTTTTTTTTCTCATCTTCTGGTATCTTGTGATGGTCCCAATGCAGGTGATCTGTCCAGGGGATAGATGAGGAAAAGACAAGAAATGATGCCCAACTGTGGCCTCCAGACTGACCCCTCCTGACACTGCGTACTCGGTAGGTGACGGGCAGTGTGCTCTTCCGAGACTGTATCTGGGGATCTGTTTCCATGCCACAGGCCAGGTAGGGGACGTACCTTGTCCCTTCTACACAGGGCTTCTCAGTCAGGCTGGGCTACTCATGGTCAGCAGAAATTTTCAGGCAACTGGGATACAGAAAGGGTGCCTGAGGGTGTGAAGGTGGTGAGGATGGCCATGGAAGTTCCAGGCTGAGACTTTGGCATCTCTTTTTACCCTCAGAGCCAGGGTTTACAGGTTTACCCACCCATCTCTGACCCTTCCTCCAGGAACTAGGATTGGGAGGGAGTACCTGGACTAACTGGCTTTTCTTCATTCTCTGACCTCAGTTTCTGGAATTCTTTTTGGTGCAATGTGCCCCAAGATGTCCATCAAGAGTTGAAGGCAAAACAAATGGAGGGCAGCTTCATCTCCCCAAATCTTTGAGGAATATTGTATTTCTTGCCTCTTCTCCACAGTACTTGGGCTCTGATGGGTCGCATGTGGTAGCTGCCTGTAGGGTCACACCTGCACCAGGGGGATGGGTGCAGTGTCTCTTCAGAGCCTCTGGCTTGCTCTGAAGATCCCATCTGACCGGAATGGGAAACCTAACAATTATCTTTTCCTGTTGGGAGTTCAGCCTCCTCCATAAGCTCTGGCTCTGGGGACGTAAGCTGAAGCTTCCAGACCTCTGCAAGGCTTGTCTCCTGGGGACAGCAGATGACCACCACCTTCCATCTGTCTTCCTAAATGAGCAGGAATCAGCAATTCTTGTGTGGGTTCAGTTTCTCTAGGGATGTCTTGCCGGCGGTTGTTTCCCCTCTGCCTTGCTCCAGTGGGACCTGGTCTTCCAAACTGCAATCAGGAGGAGTTGGCATGGAGCTTACTGCCAAGATCTCAGGAGGCTTTATACCTCGAGGTCTCATTGTCTTCTTCATGGTGCTATGTGCTCAGAAACCTGCCACATAGATCACAACACCGTGCACGTTCCTGCATGCTTGAGTGCTGTTGGATATTCTTCCCCGGAGACAGGGAGAGTTATGACTTTTTGACCTTGTATAATTTTCAATTCTGGACCATGCAATTTTTCAATTTATCACCATTGCTTCTCCACATCTGAGGCCTGACTCCCTGGGAACATTTCAGCAGCTCAGAATCCTCCTCTTCAATCTGGCTCTGCCTTCTCACAGATGCCGTATGTTGGCTTATGTCCATGTGGCTGTGGCCGGTGGATCCCAGCTTGCCTGGCAGTTACTGCTTAGGAGGAGACCAGGCTCTGAGGAGTCTGCCCCAGCCTTTGAATCAGGAGAAAACCCCTTCTCAGTGATCAAAGTTTTTTGTTTTTTTTTCAGGATTGTGTGTCACTTAAGAAGCTGCAGTAATCACCCATGGCCAGGATTTCCTCTGGTTGGTGGGTTGATCAGTTTATTTCTTGTCCTGCAATACCCTGGCTAAGACACCACAGAATGCTTTGTATGTGTTGCTGTCTCTACCTGCCTGACCTGTATGTTACTCCACACATTTTCATGTGAACCTCAGGGTTCTGTCACCACTCTCCCCTGGTCCAAGTATCAGCATGGCCCATGCAGGGACAGTCATCTTTCTTCCTTGAGCTGTAGGTTCCCTGGTCTCACAGTCAAGATGATGGTGCACTTAGACTCACTATTAGACTCAAAATACTGCATCTTGCATTGGGGGCCAGTTTATCTGCTAGTCCAGTGCCCCAAGGCTGCCCAGATGTCACTTGGGGCTGCTTTAGATCCCAAATACTTAGGGAGACGTGACTCAAGTCTTCAGTCTCATGGGCTATATGAGCCCAGAGTTCTCCCCACCATTCCTGTGAATTCTAAACTTGGGTCCTCAGAGTCCCCTTTGCCAACGGGATGCAAATTTCTGCTAGTTCACAGATTTCCTCCAAAAATTTTACTGAAAGCTTATGTTCTGCCACTTCCGTGCTTTTTGTTTGCTTATTTGTTTTGTTTTTCATTTTTATTTTTTAGTAAAAAGTAGTGGACACAGGGAGGGGAACATTACATACCAGGACCTGTTGGGGGTGGGGGGCTAGGGGAGGGGGAGCATTAGGAGAAATACCTAATGTAGATGATGGGTGGATGGGTGCAGCAAACCACCATGGCACGTGTATACCTATGTCACAAACCTGCATATGTATCCCAGAACTTAAAGTATAATTCAAAATAAAAAAGAAAAACAAAAAACAAAAAACAAAAAAACTCCTTTTTCCATATTTATGTATGTTTCCTCAAAAAGTACAATGACTTTTCTTCCTCTGCTTCTCAAACTTGTTTTTATTAAAACCATTGCATTCTTATTATTAAGTAATTACTATATGTGTATTTTAAATAAGACTTATAATTGGATTAAATAAATATGTAGTAAGTTGCAATTGGGACTTTATTCAAATTTCCAGATATTTTAAATCACCACTTAATGGAATCCTGGCTCTAACATTGAGGCATAAGTATTCTTCACACACTGCTTTCTAGGCAATGTTCTTTCCAAACGTTCAGCCTTTCTGAAGACTGGATGTGATTGGTTTTTATTTTTTATTTTTTTTAAGATGGAGTTTCACTCTTGTCGCCCAGGCTGGAGTGCAATGGCATGATCTCAGCTCACCGCAACCTCCGCCTCCCAGATTCAAGCGATTCTCCTGTCTCAGCCTCCTGAGTAGCTGGGATTACAGGCACATGCCACCACACCTGGCTAATTTTTTGCATACACACACACACACACACACACACACACACATATATATATATATATTTCAGTAGGGACGGCATTTCGTCATATTGGTCAGGCAGGTCTTGAACTCCTGACCTCAGGCAATCTGCCTGCCTTGGCCTCCCAAAGTGCTGAGATTATAGGCGTGAGCCACCACGCCCGGCTGGATGTGATTCTTTATAGGAATTTTTGCTGAAAAACTTTTTATTTAACTGCTTAACCTAGGTAAAATAAGAATAATGATGATAATGATAATAATTTCAGCCAGGTGTAGTGGCATGTGCCTGTATGCCACAACGTCTGGAGACTGAGGTGAGAAGATCATTTGAGCCTAAGAGTCCAAGTCCAGCCTGGGTAACACAGCCAGACCCTGTCTCTAAAACATATAATAATAAAATAAAAACAAATTTTGCTTCTTTAACTCTTTTCATGAGACTTAGAAGAAAACGTGTGCATAGCTTTCTGTTCCTTCCCTAGCCAACAGAACATTTCCTCCACAGTTTTGTGATTAAAGAACATGATGTCCACCATATTTTTAAGTGATAATCTGCTTGTATTTAGTGGTGTATTGCCGCCTTTATCTCTATTTCTCTACAGATGCATTTTTCAAATGTAAGATGTCTATACCATTTTGTCTTCTTCTTTACTCACTTATCCTAAACGTATTCCAGTGTTTCTCCAGAGTCTTCAATAAATGTAATTATTAACACCCATAATCTACCATTCTAGCTGCATTTTCAACAATCAAAGCTTTTATTTTCCCTTTAATATCTATAAATGCATTTGCACAAAAAAGCTGCTCTTAGCCTGTGGTTTTAGGTGAGTTGCCTAGGTTGGGTTCCCGACTTTGCTTCACACCGGCTCTGACTTTGTGGAAGTTACTCACCACCCTTGTGTTCTCATCTGTAGAATGCTGGTAATAATAGTGCCTTCTTCATTGGACTGGCTTGGGGATCAAATGTGTAATTACTTTGAATGCCTTTGGATCAGGATCTGGCACAGACTAACCCCTCAATAAATGTTGACTATCACTGTTTTCCCATGCTTACTCTTATTTTTGCAAATGTCTACATTGGAAATCATCACTAGTTCCCCAGACTGCCTGTAGGTCTGTGTAAGTTGTGCAACACATACCCTTAATTCTTTTCACTCTTCACCGCTTGTGGAGAATCCCCTGGAAACTCTCCTTTCTGATTTAAGTGGGTTTCCAGGCAGAGTAAATTAAAGTGTCTTGGTGTGGAGACCACCTGGCCACCTTGCCTTAATTACAGAAGTAACAATAGCATTCCCTAAGAAGACAGCTGCTGCTTCTGAAAATTTAGGTGACATGTGCCTTGTGGAACATGCTTTGTGTGACAAGAAGCAATTGAATTTCTTTGCAGGTAGACACAAGCAAAGAGGCAACTAAGAAATTAGAAGATTGTATAAGAAGCTGCATAGAATCACAATGACTGTGTTGTCCTGAAACCAACCCAGGTGACTTTCTGAATAAATTGGTGTTCAATTAATTTACTGTTAACTAGTACCCCTATGAACAGCTACATTGCTTTCTAGTTCCAATTGGATCGTTACGAAGTTTGGCAAGTTGAATTTCTTTTCTCTGTGTCTCAAATCTGCCATTCTTCAAACGGAGAGAAAGAATCTGAACTTCACAGGGAGTAAAACACTTTGAAATGTAAATATAATTTAGATGCATATATACCATAAACCATAAAATATTATGCAAATATCTTATTAACACTATGCATTTTCTTTGAAAGGAGGTAAAGGCTGAGATTATTTTCATTCACATTTTCAGGGTGCTCATCTTTCAATTAAAATTAGGAGTAGCAGTTTTTGTGAATGAAGAAAAGTTTATTCAGATATAGATTTAATTCACATGGTAGAGGGACCCTGTGGAGGTCTCTGTATAATATAATACCATCCTTTCTTTTCAGAGATGTCTTTACTTTTAAGACCACCTGGGTGAGCAGGGGAGAAGACCAGGGTCAGACTCACAGACCTTCCCCTACTGTGTGTTGCTGAGGCTGTACTTTGGGTAAATTTCATTTTGAATCAGCAAAGACAAAAGGTATTGCATGATAGAAGCACAGTGGATTTAAAATTAGAAGACCTGCATTTGGTGTGCTTCTCCTGGGCAATTCTCAACACATTAAGAATCTTACCCTAGTGCCCTGCTCTTCTATCTGCTTGCTGATTTTCTCTGAAGTGCGCAGCATGTCCACGTGGTCCCGATCCCTACCTACTTCTCTTCTGACTGTCACTTGGATTCAAATATAACGACCTTTTAGTTATAACTATATAAAAAAACTATGAATGTAGCCTTTCTAGCTAGCTATATTGCTTTCTAGCACTTTTGAATGACAGAATTACATTTTTGTTTAATCACAGAGATTATTGTGTACCTAAGTTTTTCTTTACATGTTAATTTAAAACTAAGCTTTAATTGAAAAAGAAATCTGATATTAATTAAAGCAGAAATTTTCTTGCATGCAATCAGATTCTGTCAAAGACTTAAGAAATTATTCATTTTTAAGGAAATAAGGATAGGTTTAAAAAATGCAAAACATATGTGGAAACAGTTTGTTATAGGCTGAATTGCATCCCTCCAAGTTCATATGTGGAACTGCTAACTGCCAGTGCCTCATAATGCAACCTTACTTGGAAACAGGCTCACTGCAAATGCAATTAGTTAGGATGAGGTCATACTGGAGTAGGGTGGAGCCCTAAGCCAATGTTACTGGTGTTTTTATGAAAGGATAAATGTGGACATTGACACACATACACAGTGCACCACATCAAGACGAAGGCAGAGATCACGGTGACGCATCTACAAGCCAAGGAGCACCAAAGATGGTCAGAAAAACACCAGAAGCTGGGAGACAAGCATGGAACAGGTTCTGCCTCACAGCACGCAGGAGGAAGCAAACCTGCCCACACAGTGATCTTGGACTTCCAGCCCCCAGAACTGTGAGACAATACATTTCTGTTGCTTACACCACCCAGTCTGTGGTAGTTTGTTATGGCAGCCCTAGCAAACTAATACAGATTTTGGTAACAGGAAGGGGAGACTTCTGTAACAAATAGCTAAAAATGTGGAAGTGGCTTTGTAATTTGGTAATGGGTAGAGGTTAGAAGAGTTCTGAGACGTTTGACAGAAAAAGCCTAGATTGCCTGTGGGAGACTGTTGTAGAAATATAATTGTCAAAGGTGCTTCCAGTGAGGCCTCAGATGGAAATGAGAAACATGTCACCCAAAGCTGCAGGAAAGAAGACCTTTGTTACAAAGTGCAGATAACTCGACTGAACTGTGTTCTATTTTTTTGAAAAGTGGAACTCATAAGGAATGAAATGGGATATTTAGCTGAGGATATTTCTAAGCAAAGTGTTGAAGACGTGGTCTGGCTTCTTCTTGCTGCTTTTGGTAAAATGCAAGAGGAGACAGGTGAATCGAAGAAAGGACTGCTTAGTAAAAAGAAATCAGCACTTGATGTTTCAGAAGATTCTCAGCATATCCAGATAGTGTGCTCTGGAAACAGGGCCGAAAGTGTGGCTGGACAACCGTTTGCCAGAGAGACTCAGTGTGCCACTTGTGGATCCAGTCAACCATCTCAGCAGAAATGCTGCCAGCTTGGACTTAAGGGACAGAGATGGGATGAAACGAAGAAAGGCTGTCAGACTTCTGGGGTTCTACAAGCAGGAAATGGGCTAATAGAGCTACTCAGCTGCAAACATGTGTTATCCTTCCAAGAAGGGAGGAATGACCTCAAAGGCAGTTCAGGTGCTGGCAAAGCTGCCATCAAGTCCCAGAGGGCAGCATCCTTCACCCAGGCTTGGTACTTGAGGCCCCTGTCCCTTGCTGCTTGTGGGCTTGTTGAGTCACTGCTGACATGGTCAGTGAGTACCTGGTCTGGACTCTGCTCTCTCTACCTTGACCTCCTAGGTTTTATTCTCAGCTTGGTACCTGGGTTTTGATATGGGTGCCCATTTGATTGGCATCCTTGGTGAAATTAAGCCATTCTTTTTCATCCCTCTTTGCTCTCTTTTATGTTTCTGTTTTGCGTTGTCCTCACTGAAATTGTTGTTTGTCGCAGAAGGAGACTTACAAGGTAGAATGCAGGCACAGACTCCGTAAGCTTGTTGGTTGAGCCAGCCTCACAGACTGGTGAGTGTACAGTTCTCACTGGGCTGATATCCACCTGGATGAATTTTGCTGTGAGTGACTAATAGAACTGGATGGGATTCTCCTTCCATCTCAAGTCTTTGTCTAAGTGCTTGGCTTGGCTCCACAGGCAGTGTTCTGGCTGGCTTTTGTCTTCTGGTGGTGCAGATGGTCAAGCTTGCGTTGGGAGGAGGACGGTCATCATGCTGGGGACTCGAGACATGAAGTGCTCCAGCCTCACATTTCTACTGACCACTGCTAGCACTCCTGGGGTTGTCCAAGTAGAAATCCTTGCCTCCTCCAGGAAAAACTCCTGCTTCTTATACTTACTCTCATTACAATGCTAATTCTTGTGCCCGTCTCTAAATGACATAACTTCATCAAGGATAATTTGAGTTTTCAGTGGCCACTCTGGGGAAGACTTGACTAGAACAAAATTGTTCATTTGAGAAGTACTTTAGAAAAAAAAGGAAATAAGTTTTCTCAGGCCCAATGGGCAGCATTTTTTAATTGGTATGCAAGGCCTCCAAATGAAATTCTGATTTAATAATTGCTTCACTAAGAGTCTTTGGCTAAAGTTAATGAGCAGTTTGACTAAATTAAGCAACAACAAAATAGACTCATTTCCCTGTTAAATCCCTTTCCATCCTGTCTTCCAGTTGCTTCCCTCTACTAAACTCTCCTTCATTCCCCTTACCTTTTTGATGTCTCTCCGTTCTCACCCCTATCAACTCCTCCCTCATTATACCCCTGTTCAGACTCCCTCCCTTTTACCGAGACCTCAAACTGTAGGTTGCTTCTAAACTTCCACCTCTCCCATGAGCCAGGTATGCAGGTAATTGTAGAATTTAAGCCTTGGACCTGAGCTGAATTAAGGATTTCTCTAAATTCAAATTAGACCAGCAACTATTGATAGAAGAAATCAGAATTATTTTGAGTGCATATGAGCCTGCATTGCCCACCCTATATCAACCTCTTTTTAAAATTGCTTTCCTAAATGCTTTAATTTGAAAAAGGAAGAAATGCGGGTGAGTCATTTAAAAGAAGTGGAACTCAAAAGCCAGACGGGTAGAAATGGGGTAAGTTGTGTTGCTCTTTAAAATTCTCAACCAGGGCTTGGAGAAGCACAATGGCCAGCAGTGCTTAGGTTAGTGACTTGGTTAGTCAATAGCCAGGAATCCAGAAAATGTTCAATTGGCAGGTTGGGCACTCTTGGAGGCACCAGGGAATACCTCTACTCAGCCTATTGCTCCTTAGGATAAAGCAAGATAGATGATATCTTCTAAGGCCTCCATGGGTTTAGACGGACACCCGTCCTCATGACTCTAGCAAGCTTTGGATTCTGACAGTGGAACTGTAAGTGCTAATGTGGGAATCCATGGAGAGGTTTGGGGGAATTTGATGGTGAAGATAGAGTGAACCATGAGAAATTGTGCATAAAATTATATGTGTATGTGTTCCTATGCACATTTTCCTGAGGATAGAGTCACTAGAGTTCATCAGATTATCAAAAGGTCCTGAGGCCGGGCGCGGTGGCTCAAGCCTATAATCCCAGCACTTTGGGAGGCCAAGACGGGCAGATCACGAGGTCAGGAGATCGAGATCATCCTGGCTAACACGGTGAAACCCCGTCTCTACTGAAAATACAAAAATTAGCCAGGCACCGTGGCGGGTGCCTGTAGTCCCAGCTACACGGGAGGCTGAGGCAGGAGAATGGCGTGAACCCGGGAGGCAGAGCTTGCAGTGAGCCGAGATGGTGCCACTGCACTCCAGCCTGGGCAACAGAGTGAGACTCTGTTTCAAAAAAAAAAAAAAAAAAAAAAGGTCCTGAGTCCCCAAAAAGGCCAAGAACTACTTCAGTTTAGGTTATGGCCGAGGCTTTGGGGTCTCCATAAATTTTCCAGTCTGAGTCGTTGGAGGTTCAGATTCTCCCCCAGTGGATGCGCCTCCCAGAGCAGGAGTCACATCAGAGAGGCACTTTGTAGGACCATGTGCTGTCTGAGCTGCCCTGTCTTCAGCCTCCTCCAACAACAATTACCAGCCAAGAATTTTGTATCCAGCAAAACTAAGCTTCATATATGAAGGAAAGATACAATCTTTTTCAGACAAACAAATGCTGAGAGAATCCACCACTACCAAGCCACCACTACAAGATCTGCTAAAAGGTGCTCTAAATCTTGAAACAAATCCTAGAAACACATCAAAACAGAACGTCTTTAAAGCATAAATATCACAGGACCTATAAAACAAAAATACAGTTTAAAAAAGAAAAACAAAAAACCAAGGTATACAGGCAACAAATAGCCTGATGAATGGAATGATACCTCATATCTCAATACTAACATTGAATGTAAATAGCCTAAATGATGCCCCACTTAAAAGATACAGAATTAGAAAATGGATAAGAATTCACCAAACAACTATCTATTGCCTTCAAGACACTCATCTAACACGTAGGACTTACATAAATGTAAGGTAAAAGGGTGGAAAAAGACATTTTATGCAAATGGACACCAAAAGTGAACAGGAATAGCTGTTATATCAGACAAAATGAACTTTAAAGCAACAGCAGTTAAAAAAGACAGTTAAAAAAGAGGGACATTATATAATGATAAAAAGCCTTGTCCAGCTGGAAAATATCACACACCTAAACATATATGCACCTAGCACTGGAGCTCCCAAATTTATAAAACAATTACTAATAGACCTAAGAAATGAGACCACAACACAATAATAGTGGGGGACTTCAATACTCTGCTGACAGCACTAGAGAGGTCATCAAGACAGAAAGTCAACAACAAAAAAATGGATTTAAACTATACCCTGGAACAAATGGACTTAACAGATATATACAGAACATTCCATCCAAAAACCACAGAATATACTTTTTATTTAACAGCACGTGGAACTTTCTCCAAGATAGACCATATGATAGGCCACAAAACAAGCCTCAATAAATTTAAGAAAATTGAAATTATATCAAGCTGTCTCTCAGACGACAGTGGAATGAAAACTAGAAATCAACTCCAAAAGGGACCTTCAAAACTATGCAAACACATTAAACAACCTGCTCCTTAATGATCTTTTTTTTTTTTTTTTTTTTTTTTTTTTTTTTTTTATAGCGAGAGAAGCTCTTACTCTGTCACCCAGGCTGGAGTGCAGTGGCATGATTGTAGTTCACTGTAGTCTTGAATTCCTGGCCTCAAACAATTCTCCTGCCCCAGCATCCAAAGTAGCTGGGTACTACAGGTGTGTGCCACAATACCTGGCTTTTTAAAAAAATTTTGTAAAGATGGGGTCTTTCTATGTTGTCCAGGCAGGTCTTGAACTTCTGGACTCAAGCGATGCTCCCACTTTGGCTTCCCAAAGCACTGGCATTACAGGTGTGAGCCTGGCCTCAACTTGCATAGATATTGGTCAAACCTCAGATGCTGAAGCCTAGATTGCAAAAGTTGATTATAGTGACCTGGAAAAGGACTTCAGAATGCCTTTTTCTATAATAAACTCAAGGCTCTCCCCTGCCACCGACCTCCTGCTCCGAAAAAAAGCCAGAACAATAGGTCAGATCTTCTAAAAGCCATATCTGAACTATTTCTAGTAAAAATGGTTTGGATTGTAATTAAATCATGAAAACAGAAAAGATGCAACTATAGAAGGTTTTCAGGACAGACTAGAAAACACCTTCTGACAACATTCAGGAGTTAAAGATGGCACTGATGTAACAGTGGCCGTTTCACTTCGTTTTGTCCTTGGAATCAAATTTGAAATTAGAGACCTAATTCAAAACCAGAAATTAGAATGAGAAATAGCCTCTTCTCTGGGACCGCAACACCTTGGAGAGCATTTTGAAAGAGTTTTAGAATAAATACAAAATAAGAACAAATATAAACTTATACTCTGTAAATTAACCAGCTAAGTGGCCCACTTTCTAATCAACTATCTACTGATGAGGACACTTATTGAAGGGACACTGGAAAAAAGAGTCTGGTCATGCAAAGGAAAAGCAAGACAAGAAAAATCCTTCAATTCAGATCAATGAGCATGTATCAAGGAAGGAAAGAACTCAGTGTCTTGCTTTACCCTTAAACACTCAAGGTGAATTAACTATAAATACAGATGGTCAACCTCCTCAATTCCTGATAAATATGGTGCTACTTTTTCTACATTAAACTCTGCCACCTTTGTTCAACATCTTCCCCAGAGTAAACATACCACACAGGTATTAGATATTTTAAATAAACTATAGCTTTCTTCTGTCTCTCAGCTCTTATCGTTAACACTTAGACTTTTGACTGAAGAGCATTCCTTCCTGCTCTGTGATACCAACCCCTGCAAATTTAATAGGAAGATACTTACCTTGCAAATGGAATTGTCATATGATATGCACACTCGAGGGACTGTTACTGGAGGCTTTAGAGAACTCATTTGCTCATAATTAGTGTATTTCTGATATGGTTGTACTTTTGCCTTCTCTATTATGTTTGATGAACGTTGCAAATAAAGATCTTGAGACTATACTTGACATCCTGTGGGCTAAACATTCCACTGAAATAGGAAAAATAATTGGAGCAGGACCTACTAAAGTTCAGATAGATCTTAACAAACTGTTGTAATTATTTCCACAATATCCCTTGAGGCCAAAAGCAAAAGAAGGACTCAAATCTATACTTAAAAGACATTTATCCAAAGGCCTTCTCGTATCCTGGACTAGCTACTACAATACGCTTGTTCTGACAGGAAAGATACCAAGTGGATGAGAATATTGACTTGTCTAAGACACCAAGGCCACCAACAACATTGTTATTCTTCAATGTGGTAGCCTCTAACCCAAAACCAATAATGTCGTTAATTCTGTCTGAAACCTCTTGCTTCACCATAGTGTATCTTTGTTCCATATTTCTGCAGTGTGCCTCTAGACCAGGGCAGCCGATATCTTTTTGCCTTCACTTGTGAAAGACAGCACAGACCTGGAGAGTTATGTTCCAGAGATTTTAAAACGTGATATTTTTCCTAGGTCTTAAAGACTGAAAAGATCTAAATTTCTCTTGTGATTCATGTTGCCGTTCACTGCTGCAATACTCTAAGTCCTGCCTTTCACTTGCCTTTACCAGAAGAAGGGGAAACCTCATGATTGTCTTACCTCATTTGGCGAACATCCTGTGTCTCACTCTGATTTATTGGAGACTCCTGCTGAGAACCCTGACCATGGATTATTGGTTGGTGAGTCATGCTTCAGAGCTGGAAATGGAGATCAAGCAGAATGCGCTATCACCAAATTAAGCAGTCCTCTGGAATATAGCTCTCTACCTGAGGCAAAATAAACTCAGATGGCAGAACTTCTTGCCCTTAGTAGAGCTTATCAACTAGCCAAAGAACAGAGAGTAGACATATACAGTCAACCCATATGGTGTGGGCTCTGCACTCCTGGATTCAACCAAGCATGGATTGAACATATTCAGAAAAAAACAATTCCGCAAAGTTCCAAAAAGTAAAACTTGAATTTGCCATGCCTGACTACTCAACGAATCCACTCAAATGCAGTAATGTGTTGGCATTATATTAAGTATATAATCTAAAATCTCTATAATCTATAATTTCTATAATTAGATCTATAGGTATGTAATCTCTGGTAATCTAGAGATGATTTGAAGTATGTGGGAGGATCCGCTTAGGTTATATGCAAATACTATACCATTTTATATAAGGGACTGGAGTATCCATGAATCTTGGATTAGTGTTTTATAATGGTGCTGGAAGGAACTATCTTAGCCCTTTTTTTTTTGCCCTTCCATCTTTTCCCCCGTGTGAGGACACAGCCTTTGTCCCCTCCAGAGGATGAAGCAACAAGGTGCCATCTTGGATGGAGAGACCTGGACCCTCAGCAGACACTGAACTCAACAGTGCCTTGATCTTGGACTGGAGGTTTTATTGGATACACAATTCATTCCTATAGTAAATGATTATAAGATCTAAAGTAAGTTTTAGTAAACTGAGCAAAGGTAGAACATTGGTAAAAGTTACAGCTTTATATCAAAATACATCCATGGGTACAGTCCATCTGGTTGGACTCACCTTTACTCTGAGTCATGGGCTCCAGGCAGGTGTGATATGCACAAACTCACTTTCTCTAATCTTTTCCTCCTCACCCCTTTGCTTTTTCCTTTAATCATTACTCTCCTCATTTTTTTCTTGTGACATTTTTCTTACCAACTTAAAATATTTAGTGCACACTATGATGTATGCATGCACACATACACACTTTTTTTCTAAGTGGGAATCACTTCATTTGCAATGCCTTCCCTGACTTTTTTTTTGTCTTTGGTATACTCCTTCTGTAGTTTACTTTTGTGATACTCTGCACCTCTCTCTCCTATCATTTGTCCTAGTTGCAATTTTGTACTTATTTTTTGATGATCTGATTAACATTTTCCTCCTTCAGTAGGCTGGAACTACGTCTGCTTTTTTCATGATTTAGCACCAAGCTTGATTCAACAAATTATTACTGAATTAATGAAATAAAAGTATTGCAATCATCTAATTATGGTAGTTCCCTATTTTCACATCTCTTTCCTCATTAGGCAATACTCAGAAGCCAGGGTTGAGCCTGACACATGGTGGATGTTGAATAAATGTCCGTTGTTGAAATGAACCAGTTGTATCTGTCTAGTGTTGTTCATTATCCCATTTTTAGGGGGAGCATGAACCATTGAAGTACCACCGTACCTGACCAAGGAGACGCAGATGAGGAATTACAAAGGAAAGGTGTGGCTGCATCAGAGAAGCCTGCTCAATTTTTTGCATAAAATGAATGATTAATTCAGCACCTGCCGAGACACTGGACTTATAATCATTTTCTTTCTAAGGCGGTTTTACAAATAAATGGTCAGTTAAGAAACTGGGAAATATTCATTATAATATAGTGAAGAAGTTGGTCCAGAAATTAGAGATCTGGCTTCTCCTCTCTATTTTGTCTTTAGCTAAAGATAGGCAAAACTTTTTCACTCTCTGAACTCCAATGTTCTCATCTTAAATAAAGGTTTTGGGACAAAACTGTCTTAAATTTCTAACCTAAAAATTCTCTTGCCTTGTGAAGGGTGTAACATTTGGGTTTTTATTTGACTTACTTTAGCCACACATTCTTGCAGCTTTCATTTCATGGTCTGAAAAAGCGGAGCGCTTCTAAGCAAGTATTTAGAAGATAGAATATTTCTGGTGTAAAACATGGCCAATAAAACTTAAGTGTAATCAAATTCTCCATATATTTTCATGTTCAACTTGTCTTCTCGAGCTAACTCACCACAGATCACTCTTTACGAAGATATTTATCAATTAATCATATACCTCCTGAATTCTCCGTAAGTATGATGCATGGTATGTGTCTTATGAATTATTTTCTCTAACCCAGTAGGGAAGCATGGTAGTGTAGTGTGTGGACTAGGTTCAAATCTCAGCTCTGGCACTCACTAGCTGTCTTATCATGACAATGGATTTTATTGACTCTAAATCCCAATTTCTTCATCCAATAAAGGATGATGATGATATTTGCATGATGTAGTAGCCTTTGCAAGGATTGCAAACATTAATGCAGAGCAGGAGAACGTGCACATGACTGAGCTCCCATTATATTCCTGGCACTTACAGGTCCATAGTAGGTGCTCAGTCAGCACAGGTCCTTCACCTTCTGCTACACGATAAGGGTTTTGTTTCTTTTTTTGAGACGGAGTTTCACTCATCACCCAGGCTGGAGTGCAATGGCATGATCTCAGCTACTGCAACCTCTGCCTCCCTGCAACCTCCCCCTCCCAGGTTCAAACGATTCTCCTGCCTCAACCTCCCGAGTAGCTGGGATTACAGGCACCCACCACCATGGCTGGCTAATTTTTGTATTTTTAGTAGAGACGGGGCTTTGCCAAGTTGCCAGGCTGGGCTCAAACTCCTGACCTCAGGTGATCCGCCCGCTTTGGCCTCCCAAAGTATTGAGGTTACAGGCATGAGCCACCACACCCGACAGTGAGAAGCTTTTTGAAACAAGCAACCCTCTCTTCTCCTTTGTAAATGCCACCTATAAGCAACAATTTTCAGAGTAGGAGCTTAATATAGGCTGACGGTTGGAGTGAAAGACTGCTCAATACTGAGAGGGAACATAGCATTGAAGAAGGCTTTCTTTGAGTAAAGGGAATTAGAAGAGGGATTAAGCCAAAAAAATGTAATGTCATGGAGACCACACAGAAGATGGGAGCCTTCACACGCAGGGTGAAATACGGCAGTGGCTGTGCTGTCAGGCTAGACCAAAAAACTATTATCCCATTAAAATGCTTCTCCTCTGGCTCCTTTGCAAGGTGGCAGAGCTGTAAAAATGTTGTGCATTATTTCCTGGCAAATCATGATGGAAATGCTGTGGAATTGTGCATGAGAACTTAAAGGATTCATCACGGTTTATTCCATTAAAATAAACACCAAAGAAAGTAATAATGGTATGCCATTTATTATGCAGTATTGTCAACCTTTTTATATGTTAAATGGAATCTCCACAGGCTTACTAATAGTATATAGGCCATAAAGCCTTTAAACAATAATGTTTAACTGTATCTGAAATAGTGGAATCTTCTGGTGGTTGTATAAGTGGCCTGGTTTTTAAATCTTCTCAGTGAGAATATCAGAATTGCAACAAAAAGCCTCTGGGATATTCTTTTTCAGAACAGGTAACAATCAGTCAACAAATACAAGGCTTTGTCCTCGTCATATATGATAGCATGTGTGCATGGGCAGGCATGATGACACCAGGCCTTTAAATTAACAAGCCAAAAAAAAAAAAAAAAAAAAGAAAGAAAGTAAAGTTGGGACTAAGGTACACAAATTGCCCAAATCTGAACTGAACTTCCTTGTTAGGCTTTATTTTGTTTTGCTTCAACAGAGTCTCAAACCAAATTTATTTTTCGTTAACCCCTGGAAAAGTAGTACTAATGTGTTGAAAAGAAATAGATAAGAAATGCTAAACTATTTCCAATTATGAACCTGAAATGAACATATGTTGATTACATGTAAGTGACTGTCATTGATTTTCTTCTCCCACCACTCCCATCTTCATCTTAATTTCCTTCCCTTCTTTGGTTTTATCCTTCCTCTTCTCTTCCCCTTTGTTTTCACTTTTTCCTTTCTCCAAGTTTGAGATACACTTTCTCCTTGTCAAGTGAGTAGCTTCAAAAATATAATAGTCCTCAGCAGAAAGGAGTTTCAGAATATCATCGGACCTAAGCTCAGAGTTTCAGATTCAATTGCCCTTAAAAGACCACATAGATGATTATTGATCCAACTCCTAAACCTTAGTGCCTCATGCTCAGGGTAAGTGGTAGTGAGGAAAGGTAAATTTTTATAGGGGAGAGCACCTACAAAAATTACCTCCTTTAGGTTACATGGTGGGATTCATCCCTGGAATGACAGAGGGATATTCCATTTCAGTTCTCCATGCATACGTGAAGCTATCAGTACATATAATGGTCAGGGCTCCATAGCCTTGGGTGTTAATACTCGGAGTGACTGATCTCATTATAAACCGTAATTTACTGTCTATACTTCCTTCCAACTTCATGAATACTGATTGGTGGGAACAGACCAATGCATTGTAGAATATAATTCCAACTGAGTAGTTTCCATGTACAATTTAAACATGTCATAGTATACCATGCCTAATACATTAAACTGTGCATATGTCAAATGAAAAATTCTCTTATGAGAAATGAGCAAGTATTTATAAAGAATTTGGCTGATGCTATGAGCAAAGACTTTCAAAATAAGGAGCCAAAAGTTTCCTTTTGGACTGTGAACTCTTGCAGTTTTCAATCAAAATGAGCCCAAGTGGAACCTGGGAGAGCAGTAATGAATTGTTTAAATTAGATGAATGTACAATAGTATTAAATATCTGGTGGGCTTTAAAGCACCAGAAACAGGAATTATTTTTGTCATGCAGCAGCAGAACAATTTGTTATTTCAGTAAACACATGAATCAGTTCCAGCAGGATAGATATATATTGTCTGAAGATGGATCAGGGTTTTTTCAACTTAAAAAAATAGCAAAGGTGGTTTCTGTTAAAGTTGCTGCAGGGAAAATTCCAGTGACCCCAATCCTTGTTCCCATATTTGTTAAAGGAGTATAAATATCTTGTGGTTAGAGATAGTGTAGGAAAGAGGGGGACATAGTCGGTAATCAATAAATTGCAGTTATAGTAATTAAGAAAGCATTTGCCTGGTAAATTCAGAGTATTAACTAAATTGCAGGGGCAAATTAAAAGTGCAAAATATGCCTATCTGACACCACTTGTTTGCAATTGATTGGATCATTTAAATAATGCATACAAATAAATAGAGCCCTTTCCTACAAGTTTTGCATAACAAGGCAAAACTTGACCAGATTCCATCCATGTGTATTTGGCAATACTTTATAATATTGAGCACTCCTAGACCTAGTTAGGAGAAGAGACAGTGCAGTGCTGGAGTCCAGCTGCTGGGTTTCAAACTCCACCTCCACTGCTGACTGGCTGGGTGCATTTAGCTCACCTCTCTGTGCTGCCCAGCTCATTTCATCTGAGAAGCAAGGGACAATCATGGCACATATTTCATAAATCTGAAGCTAGGATTAAATCTAATCCTTGCAGAGCAGGTAGAGTTAGGAAGTGCTCAATAGATGCTTATTACTTTAAGTGTTCTTAGTCTAAGAGAGATTTGGGCAGTAATGGAAAGTTAGAAGAATCTACCCTGATAATGTAGGGTAACGTTCCATCTTGGGGGCATTTTAGAAGATAACTGGCCGTGGAAAGAGATGGAAAACTACTAAATGTAACCCTTTATTATTCCACATAAACTGAAAAATGTCAAAGGTACTTGAGATTTCCTCTCCTCTCATCCAATGTCTCTAACCCTAGAATAGAGAAATTTAGAAGCTTTATCAGATCATAGATACACGGATAGGTTTAGCAATGATTGGGGGATCTAAGAGCTGGTTGATTAGAAACACACAACTTTTGTGACCTAACAAATTAAGTTGGGTTAGTATGGAGGGGAACACTTCAGTGAGTCTAGGCTGAGGTCCAAGATCTCCCTTTAATGCAGAGAACAGATGGTGGAACAATAAGTCCAAAGACCATTAACGTCTTGCAGATATTCTTGACTTCTATAATTCTGCCAGAATCATCAGTAGTTCATGCACATGAGTCTGTTCCCCCTTGAGAGTTCAGACAGGATGTGTTCTCGTTAAGTTAAAGATAAAAAGATTAGGTTCACTGGAGAAAATGTTTTGTGGGTATCTTCAATTAAATCTCTGCAGTTTATAACTATATATTTAATTTCCTCCCACAGAGACTAGTAAAGAACTACAATACCTTGGAGTCCCACGAGCATTTTATGACACAAGGAGCCCACGAAACAGATTGGAAAAAGGGGAAAGCCTGCAGAATAGATGGCAACTTCACTAACATCTTTATTTATTTTTTAAAAATTGTATCTATTCCTATGCTCTAATGATCTAGAATTTTCAGCGAATCCCTGGGAAACTTAAAGAATGCTGTGAGAGCATTCTTGTTTAAATATTTAAGAAAAGAGACATTTACTTTCATAAAGAAGAACATATGGCCTTGTTTGTTACTGTGAATCCTTGGTTCTAACTACTGCTGTCACCCAGGCATGTGTTCCCAACATTAACCTTTGTCTGAACTATTCTTATCCCTATGTAGGTGTATTCTATATCTGCATCTTCCATTAAGCCTTCAACTACCATTTAACACACACACACACACACTCTCACACACACACACACACGCACACACAAATTGGCCCCCAAGTATTTTTAGGTTTCAAGCCTCTTGTTTTTCACATGTTAGACTCATGGACCTTATATTTAAGTATATTTTCTGCACCTGCTGTCTGCCCAGATCTCTCCCTTAATTGACCTGAGGTCTCTCCTCTCTCTGATGCTGAAGGGTCTGCTTAGGGTGAAAGGATTTTCTATACTGTGGTGATTACAAAAATGTATGATTGAAGTTTATTATATGTCAATGATGTCCTGGTTTTTTAATAACGGGATTTATCCTAATAACCTTGAAATAAATAAAATACAACATTCATCTTTTGTGGCTTACTAAAAAATAGCTGTTAATGGACACTGTATCCCCTTTAAAATTTTCTTCTTTTTTTACTTTGTTCATACACCTCTCCATGGAAATCCAAATATTAATTGAAAAAAAATGGTGTTAGTTTTCTTTGAGATAATAAAATTTTAATGTGTTGTAATAAGTAAAGAGGAAAATACGTTTATGAAACAAATTACTATTAGAAACCTGTTTTCGAAGAGTTTTTCTTTCCCATTACATGATGGATGAATTTACATACACGTACAGGCAAAAAAGCTGTAATCCTAAATTGTTTGGTCCTGATGAAAAAAAGATGATTTTTAGGAAATCAAATTTGAATAGATAAATCTATATGTATGACCAAACTGATCAAACTATTACAAAATCAATGATCCTAAGACTTAAGATAATTATATATGAAAATAATTCCTGCACATACATTGTGAAAATTTAGTCTTTCTCCAAGCTCGGTGCCTAATCCCACTCAAGGATGACCACTTGGAGTGGAGCCTTGTCAATACCCAACATGTTCCTTGCATGTTGTGCACAGATAAACACACAAGTATGAAGTTTATATATCAATCCTCTCTTTTAGAACAGAAACAGGAGTATAGCAGATAGCATTGTTCTGACCTAGATTCTTTTAAAAAACTCTATGAACAAATATGGAAGCACTTTCTGCTTTTTGAAAAATTTTTTAGGTGATTATATGGTGTAGCCTATATATTTTCTCTATACCATATAAAAGGAGTGGTCAAATTATGGCTACAGATCTACTGCCTGTTTTTCTAAATAAAGCTTTATTGGAACACAGCCACATCCATTTATTTACTGTTTCCTATGGCTGCTTTTGCACTTCTATGACAGGGTTGAGTAGTTGCAACAGAGACTGTACGTACCACAAGCCTGAAGTATTCCTGTCTGACCTTTTAAGAAACTGTTTGCTGATCCCTGCAACATACAGTAGTCTCTTGGGATTGGTTTCAGGACCCCTAAATACCAAAATCCGTGCATGCTCAAGTCCTTCTGTCAGCCCTGGGTAACCCACAAAAAGAGGGCCCTCTGTGTGCCCTGATTTTGCATCCTGTGGATATGCGTAATGGGTTGAAAAAAATCCACATGTAAGTGGACTTGTGCCGTTGGAATCCATATTGTTCAAGGGTCAACTTTAATATGATATGAAGGGAGATATGATGTATAGAAAAGTGCACATAAGTATATAACATGATGAACATTAACAAACTGAACATACCCGTGTCACTGGCACCCAGATCAAGAAACATAATCTTGCCAGCATCTTCTCCAACTTGCTTCTAGTCAATATCGGCAGTATTCTTGTAATATTCCATTGTTTGTTTGGATCGATCTTAATTTGTTAAATTATTTCCTTAATCATGGGAACTTTAATGATTTCTTTTTGGTTACATATGATACTTTATTTAACACCTTCATACCTATTTTCTTATACTTTAGGGGCTATATATGCAGGATAATTTACTAGAAGCAGAATTTTGGAGTCAAAGAAAATGAATATTTAAAATTATAATTATTACCATGTTGCACTCTAAAGAGGTTTTGTCACTTTCATACACTACAGCGGAGTATCAGAAGGCCTTCCACACTAAATGAGCCAATAGTTTAATCTTTGCCTTCTGCTAATTGGAAATTGTGTTTCATTTTAATCTTAATGTTCTCTGTTTTAATTTGGAGTGAAGTTATGTATTTTTTCATTTGTTACAAATAATTTTGTTTCTTTGGGGGGAGGTAATTCTATGACAACTTTTTTCAAATTTTCCTGTAGTAATTGATCTGTTAGATGTTTTGTCCTTTGTAAGGGAGAATGGTTTATTTACAGTTTCTTAGGTTAATACTCATCGCATCCAATCTGCAAACATTTTTATTTAGGGATGAACAAAGCTTTTATTCATGATTCATTTGACTTTCCTCTGTATATGTGACTATTTCTCAGTTCTCATTTCTAATGCTGTATGTTTATGTTTTATTGTTTCGTTTCTTTATATACATTTCTTTTCTCAAGAAGAAAAGCTCTTGGGTCCATTTACTTATTTAATAGTATTTTTTTGTTCTACTAATTTGTTGTTTTAATTTTTCCAAATTACTTTCTACACTCTGCTTTCTTTGGATTATTTTACTGTTTACCTCTTCATCTTTTTAATTTTAATGATTAACTCAATTATTTAAATTACTTTCTATTTAGAAATTTAATATTTAAAGCTATGAATTTTCCTACAATGCTGTTAGCTGGCTGCAGCACTAAAATTCTGATACTTAGTGCAATCAATATTCATATTTCCTAGATATTGTGTAATTTGACTTTTGATTTTCCTTTTCAGCCAAAGATTATTTTTAAAAAGTTTTCAGAAACATCAGTGGTTTGATATTTTTCTTGTCTATTTGCATTATTAACTTCTAAATTTTTAAAATGTTATCTGAAAATGTATATAAGAGGCCGATTTGGGGTGTATGTTGAAGCTTTCTTGTGGCAAAACATATGACCAGTTAAAAATAACGTTCTTCAGGCATCTGAAAAGAAGATTATATGCTCTAGTTTCACAATGTACAGCCTGATATGTCTATTACATCTAACATATTAATTAAGTGATTTCAAGCTCTAATATTTTATTTTGTTCTACTTTATTTTTGATGGCTGGAGACCGGTGAGAAAAAATCTTAACCGGTTCTGTACTTCCATCTCTCTCTCGTTGTTCTTGCTTCATAAATGTTTATGTTTTCTTGTGCGAAGATTTATGACAGATCTTTACTGTGGATTGCACCTTCCATCATTATTAAGTACACTTCATTTCACTTATTACTTTATGCTTTGCATGCAGCTAGGACTAATATTAATAGTTGACTCCTGATTTCATTTTGTTTCCATTTGCTTGTATAATCTGTTACTATCTGTCACTTCTCTTTCAAAATTTCTGAGTCTTTTATTTGTGTCTCCTGAGTATAGCATGTGGATGGATTTCATGCTTTATGAAATCTGAGAAATATTTTCTTTTAAAAAATGAGTTCATCTTATTAACATTTATTGATATAACAGTTGTATTTGGTGTATTCTTTTAACCTCTGCTTTTAGTGTTTTCTGCATTGTGGCACATGTTTGTGTTTTCTTTGCTTTGGGCATGGGCGTGTATTCTGTCTGAGAGCCTAGAAAGTTTATGTTCTGTTTTCAATTTTGTTATTGATATTGTTGCTGTTTGTTTCCGTTTTGTTGTTATTATTTTTTATCTATACATTTGTCCTTATTTTCCTTCAGCTATGAAACTGAAGGAGTGAATGAAACTTATTAAATGATAATAATACATTTAACCCTATATTCTTCAGCTATGAAACTCTGGCAGTATCTATTGCTGTCCCATTATGAAAGTCAAAATTATTAGTGCATATGTATTTCCTTTTACTGCCATTTACTTTTTCTGACCTTTGACTCTTGACCTGCTTCTTTTCTATAGGGGAACCCCACCCCTACCTTTCATTTTCTAACTTCTGTCTCTTTCCAAGTACCATGACTTCACCATAAGTCCCTATATGATTATTTTTATACTTTAAATAATATACTCAAATTTATATTTCTTGGTTTTCAGTATTAAGCAGTAATCATTGGGTTCTTGTTATGAGAAATGAGCTAATCAACAACTTATCTGTCACTTTTTTCCAAAAGTTAAATCGGTGTTCTCATAATTTTATCCACATTTCACCAAATTGTTAAGCCTAGTTTTCATCGACTGTGGGTTAGGGTTGTAGCTATTTGGGGGCTATTTTTGTATGTATATACATTATATTTATGTATTATATCCATATAAAAATGGTACATTTATATAAGTATAAAACTTTAGTTTTATGTTATATAAGTAGAGTGCACATGTTATAGTATATACAATATATTTTATATCATGTACAAGTATATATTATATAAGACATTATATCTTTATGTTTTTTGACTGTTTAAAATTTACCATTTGAACCATTTTAAAGTATACAGTTTCATGGCATTTTGGACATTCACAGCATTGTGCAACCCTTACCACTATCTAACTTTACAACATTTAATCCCTTTGAAAGCAGTCACTTCCAATTTCCCCCTCCTCCCAGGCCCTGACAACCATTAATCTGCTTTCTGCCTCTCTCAATTTGCCAATACTGGATGTTCCATTTAAACAGAATTTTACAGGTGGGTGGATCACCTGAGGTCAGGAGTTCGAGACTAGCCTGACCAACATGGAGAACCCCCATCTTTACTAAAGGTATAAAATTAGCCGGGCGTGGTGGCACATGCCTGTAATCCAAGTTACTCGGGAGGCTGAGGCAGGAGAATTGCTTGAACTCGGGAGGTGGAGGTTGTGGTGAGCCGAGATGGTGCCATTGCACTCCAGCCTGGGCAACAAGAGCGAAACTCTGTCTCAAATAAATTAAGAAAGAAAGAAATAAATAGAATTATACAGTACATAGCCTTTGGTGTATGCCTTTTTTAGTTAGTACATGACTCAGCAGTTCCACTCCTAGGCATATATACAAAAAAATTGAAAACATATTTTCAAACAAAACTTGTACACAAATGTTTATAGCAGGACTCAATAGCCAAAAAGTGAAAACAACCCAAATTTCCATCAACTGATAAATTGACAAACAAAAATGTGGCATATCCATACAATGAAATGTCATTTCGCCATAAAACGAATTAAAGTATAGATACATGTATGACTTGGATGAATCTTAAAAAACACTATATATTTCTTATTGCATTATTAGAAACGACTTGCATATTAATAGAAATTTTATATATCTGTCTGGAAGACTTTGGCTTTTATGTTCCAGAAGCCCAAAGCATTAGAGGAAAAGATTAAGGAAGGGGAATAACGAGCTCCACATCCTTCCACCCTCTCTCCAGGCTAGAAACCATTTCCCCAGGAGCTGGGAACTGACGAGGCTGAGAAGAGTGGCTGAGAGAGAAGAGTTTATGCATTCTG